TTTTTTTCTTTCTTTTTTTTTTTTTTTTTTGCAATATGCAGGCCTCTCACTGTTGTGGCCTCTCCAGTTGCGGAGCACAGGCTCCGGACGCGCAGGCTCAGCGGCCATGGCTCACGGGCCCAGCCGCTCCGCGGCATGTGGGATCCTCCCGGACCGGGGCACGAACCTGTGTCCCCTGCATCGGTAGGCAGACTCTCAACCACTGCACCACCAGGGAAGCCCTCTATAGGCTTTCTTCACTCTTTTTTTTTTTTTCTTTTTGCTCCTCTGACTGGACAGTTACAAATTTCCTATCTTCCAGGTTGCTGACTCTTTATTTTGCATGACTGAGTCTGCTTTTCTACTCCCTATTGAATTCTTCAATTGTATTTTTCAGCTCTAGGATTTCTTTTTTCTTTTCTTTTTTTTCTTGGATGGTTTCTATTTCGTTGCTGAACTTGTTTGGTTCATGCATTGTTTTCCTAATTCCATTTAGTCATCTGTGTGTTCTGGTAGCTCACTAAACTTCCTTAAAAGCAGTATTCTGAATTCTTTGTCTGACAGAACATAGATCTCCATTTCTCTAGGGTCAGTTTTTAGAACTGTATTAGTTTCCTTTGGTGGTATCGTATTTATCTGATTTTTCTTGGTCATTGATTCCTTATGTTGATATCTTCCCATTTGAGTAAGTGGTCTCTTCCTCCAGAATTTGCAGGTTTGCTTTGGCAGAGACAGTTCACTTCTCAGCTCAGTTTGGATTTCTGGATGTATCTGCTGGTGGGGCCTGCTACTAGGATCTATTATTGTGTGAGGCAACTGTTTAAGCTCTGAAGTTGCGGAGGGGGGGATGCCACTGGCTAAGAACAGCTGGATAAGACTGCTGACATGGTTCCCTACCCAAGTGAGGCTGTAGGATGGGCTCTGTCGCCTGAATTCTCTGGTCAGGCTTCCTACACAGTTGGAACGGGATGCTATACTCAGCAGTTGGTGGGGCTATGAATTAGCTTTCTTGCCCTTGTGGGGCAGCAGAATGCGACCCAGGGCCTGCATGGCTCATTGCTTGAGGACCCAAATCAGGCAAGATTGTGCACGGAATATCCTGGTCAGGTGAGGCCACCAGTTTTGCTCTGTAGACAGGGAAAGCCACAGGCTGTGCTCTCTGTCCTAGTGCCACTGTAAGCAGGGCTGTTGGATGGGCTGTGCAGCTCCTCGTGTGCTCTGGGAGGGTTCCCTGGTCAGGTGGGCTAAAGGCTGTATTCAGCAATAAGTGGGGCTATGAATTAGTTTCTCTGCCCAGGAGCTGGGAGAACAGCTCCAAGGCCACTAAGGCTCTTTGTGGTCTTGACTCAAGCTGACCTGTGCCCCAAGTCCCCTGGTCCAACAGGGCTGCTGGCTTTGCTCTGGGGGTGATCAGCTCTGCCCCCTGCCTCTGGACTCAAGCATTGCAGGATTACGTAGCAGCTTCCAGGTGTTCTCAGCAATGCTTCCTGTTAGATGGGCCAAGAGCCAAACTTGCAGCTGGTAGGGCTATGTCTGTTCTCCTGCCTGGGCGGGACTGGGAGGCCACTTCTGACAACTCCCAGATTTTCCCAAGGAGGCCTTCTGGTTGGGAGGGGCTGGGAGGCACACCACAGCTGGTGGGGCTACGACTCAGCTCTTCTACCTGGAAGTGAGCCGACCAGGCTCCAGGGACTGCAGAACTCCTCATTTGAGGAGCTGAGTCGTGCAGACCTGCACCCCACCAAGTTCCCTGGTCACACTACACCATCGACTTGTTCTGCAAATGAGCAAAGACACAGGTTGGGACTACTACGTGGGCTCTGCAAGTGGGAATTTGGTCTGCCAAGACCCAGTGCTGGAGGCCTCTCCCCCTTCTCCATCACCATCAGATTCCCAGTGGTTGAGCCCCACAGAGTCCCCAGCAATCCAAGGGGGTGAAACCAGGGCTCCCATGAAGTGACCCACAATTCTGGGGGTGCTGGATGTCACCCCTGGACTCTCTTTTCCCTCTAGAGGAACCATAGGCCCAAGGGAGACCTCTCAGTGTGGGGCGGGCTGTGCTGACCTGGGGGAGGGGCAATGTGGTCAGTGTGTAGCCGCTCCTCTTACCCTCTTCCCACCCCCGCCCCCCAGTGTGGGCTGCCTGGATCTCTGTGGTACAGAAGGTGCTTCATCCTTGCTCCCGGGTTCTAGGATTCTCTCAATGAAATGTCTTGTCCATGAATAGTTGTTAGCTGCTCTTGTGGTGGGGGGCAAAGTCAGGAACACCCTATGTCACCGTCTTGGTGACATCATTCCCCTTACTGCATGTTGAACACTGAGAACTTTATATGGATTAACTTCTTTAATCCTCATAACCATTTTATGGGCTAGATACTGCTATTTTTAAATCGTCTTTAATTTTTTTTTAATTTTATTGAAGTATAGTTGATTTACAATGTTGTGTTAATTTCTGCTGTACAGCAAAGTGATTCAGTTATATATTCTTTTTCATATTCTCTTTCATTATGGTTTATCACAGGATACTGAATATAGTTCCCTGTGCTCTACAGTAGGACCTTGCTGTTTATCCATCCTATATATACTAGTTTGCATCCGCTAATCCCAAACTCCTACTCCATCCCTCCCCCACCCCGTCTCCCCCTTGGCCACCACAAGTCTGTTCTCTTTACCTGTGCGTCTGTTTCTGTTTCATAGTTTGTTTAGTATGATCATCTCTAGGTCCATCCATGTTGCTACAAATGGCATTATTTCATTCTTTTTTATGGCTGAGTAGTATTCCATTGTATATATGTACCACATCTTCTTTATCCATTCATCTGTTGATGGACATGTTGTTTCTATGTCTTGGCTACTGTGAATAGTGCTGCTATGAACATAGGGGTGCATGTGTCTTTTTGAATTATAGTTTTGTACAGATATATGCCCAGGAGTGGGATTGCTGGATCCTATGGCAACTCTAGTTTTAGTTTTTTGAGGACCCTCCGCACTGTTTTCCATAGTGGCTGCACCTATTTACATTCCCACCAACTGTGTAGGAGGGTTCCCTTTTCTCCACACCGTCTCCAGCATTTATTGTTTGTAGACTTTTTAATGATGGCCATTCTGACTGGTGGGAGGTGGTACCTCATTGTAGTTTTGATTTGCATTTCTCTAGTAATTAGTGATGATGAGCATCTCTGTATGTCTTCTTTAGAGAAATGCCTATTTAGGTCTTCTGCCTATTTTTAATTGGGTTGTTTGGTATTTTTGTTATTACGTTGGGCTAGATACCGCTCTTAACCCCATTTTACAGGTGTGAAAATCAAGGCACAGGGAGGATAAAGTGGGAACCTTTGATTCACACCCCCACTGCCTTTAAACCTGAGTGGGACCCCCCCCCCAAGAGTAGATGCCCCTCTCCTCCATGATGGCAAATGGTGTTACACTGCCCTTCACTGGGCCCTCTGTCTACATACTGCTGGAGATGGCAAAGCTAAGCAGGGAGGCCGGGGGCCTAGGTTGGAGATGCAGAAGTTTCAAGGAGGAATAAGGAGACGTTCCAATTCATCAGCACTGGTGATGGTACTTGATCCGTTTTTTTTAACCATCACTTCCCCAAAGAAGCTGCTGGAGGTATGGACAACCCCTGCCAGCACCCCTCCCCACCTGAGTCCTATATTAGGCACTGGACGTATTCAGTCCCTCTCTGGATGAGGGCAGCTCTCCACCCAAGGCAGGCCCCTCAGTCACCGAATCTGAGGCAGCTACCCTGCTTTGTCCCTGGACTGTGGATTTGGGCTTCGAGCTTTTGACCAGGGAAGACATGGGCCCAGAAAGGACTTGCTCAGGTCGCAGAGCTTGTAGATGTCAGAGCGAGAAGTAAACCCAGGTGTCCTAAGGCCAGGGTTATTTCCCCACCCCCATACTGCCATTCTGTGTGGAAGTTTTTATGTGTGTTGCAGGGGTGGGGGGGGGGCTATTATCATGCTCAGCGTTGCTCCCTTAAGAGGCAATGAATGTCTTACAGAAGAGCTTTGGGCAACTGTCTGATCCCCACGGGAGGAATGACCCTTACTCCACCAGTAAAAGGGAAGAGTCATAACAGTCTCCATTCTTTCCTTTATTTACATAAAATCTCCAGAAAGAACTGGTATATTTGTTACCTTCGAGGAAACGGCCCACGGATGGGCTGACTCTTGTACCATTTGAGTATTGAGCCATGTGAACTCAGAGCCTATTCAAAATAAATACCCTTTTAAAAATACTCTTTCCTTAAGCCCCAGCCTAGGAGTCAGGACTGCTCAGATCTGGTCCCGCCCCCGCCACGCAGACTGCACCTTTGGCCTCTCCCGTGATCTCTCTGGGCCGCTCCCTCCACTGTGAGATCTGAGTGGGCTGCACGAGTCATCCGCAGGCTCCTCTCAGCGCCTTCCTCCTTCCCGTCCTCAGAGCGGCTCGGACACTGGGACACAGAGGAGGCTGGGTTCCTTTGTATGTTGTCTTTAAGTCGGTTTTCTTTTGCGAGTCTATGAAACACGGCCTGATTCTCAGTTGGTTCTTCTAGCAATTTTGTTGCTACAAATCCAAGACTACGAAGGCTGTTCACACCACTGGAGCAGGAAAAACCCACCTAACTTTGCCAGCCCAGGACTTCAGGGGGCTTACCTTTCATTCGTCTGCATGCGGAAAACGACGACGAGTGGCCTTTGGGAAATGGCACAGTAAGTCTCGGGGCCGGTAGGCGGAGTCGGGAGGCTGGGGCACTTCCCCACTGGGATGGGAGCTCTCAGGGCACAGTGATGGGGTATGAGGCTCTGCGCTTATAGGGAACTCAGCTGCTTTCTCCAGGACCTCAGGCACTTAAAGATCTCTGAGGCTTGGTTTTCTCATCCATAGAAATGGAGCTAAAACTATCTACATCACAGGTTTGTCGTTTGAGTAGATCCGATACCTAAGTGTTCTGTGAATATTAATTTGCCTCCTGCTTAAAAATACAGGGCGGGAAAGTCCTTCAAAAAGGAGACACATTCACACAACTGCCTTGTAGCAACTGGACCTGCAGCGATTTAATTGACGTAAAAAACACAGGATTGTCACCAGAGTTGGTCGTAATGTATGAGGTCTTAGGTTCTTACCCCATGACGGAGGAACAAGGGTGGGATGGTGGAGAGTTGGTTTCTACGCACTGGAGATGCAAGGGCAACCCCACGGCTTTCAAGACAAGGAAAATGGGGGCATTGTATTTAAACAATGGGGCAGACATTGAACATCCCCTGCATGTCCCCCCGAGGAGCCCACTGATGGGAGGTGGGGCTGCAGGATGCCGTGCCAGAATGGCAGCAGCTCCCACTGGCACTTGGTCCCTCCCTGCCAAGGCCAGGCCCCTCACCTCCTCCAGAACAAGTCTCCAAGCTCTGAGGAGGGGCTGCAGGGGGATGGGGTGGGCGGTGGCACAGCTGGAAAAGACAGATAGAAATGACCCACGTGTAGACCCAAGGTGGTCCGGGAAGAGAAAGCCAAGGTGAGGACCAGAGCCATCCCAGACTTTTCCTATGGCTTGTTGGCTTCCTGATAGTTGGGTACTTGAGCCCTGAGAATCTAGCTGGGATGCTCTGGGCAAGGGGAAGTGGGGGTGCTCCTGAGGTCAGCCCCAGGGCCAGCAGAGGGAAGACAGGCAGCAAAACTTCCGAGCCCAGCCTCCAGCCACCTCCCGCAGGGCTCTGGGCCCAATACTGAGAGAGTCAAAAGGAGGGAGAACACTCAAGAAAGGGGACATTAAAAAAGTCTGATCTCTACACGGCTGAGGTATTAGAGAGACGGGGCCTGGTCCCAGGGTACAGACACGCTGTGGGGGGGCTTTGTTCTGGCGAATTAAGGGCCACACACGTGACCCTGGGAGTGCCAAGCAGGCCCTGCAGGTCCGAGAGGCCAACTCCGCTCCAAAGGAGTCCCCTGGCCTCGGAAGGAGGCAGCTCCTCCAGTGCCACCTTCTCGCGAAGGTGCCCCTGTCTCCGCTGCCCCACGTCAGTGCTGCCAGTCAGCAGGAGTCACACAGGGCAGCCCGAGATGCGTTACACGGTCTGGGGCGGTGGCTTACTGTTTCTGGTCATACCATCCTTCCCCCCACCCCACCCCCGCCAATGCCACCAGTTCCCCGTGGTTCCTCTAGGTTCTGAGTGAGGCAAGCAGCAAAGAGGGGACAGGAGAACGCTTTATCATCAGAGGGAGTGAAGTGCAGGCAGCAACTCGGACACTTGGTCTGGACGCAGGAGAGGCCAGGCTGCCTGCCGGCTCAGGGACTCAGTAGCGATACACCTTCAGTCTGTTGTTCTCATCCAGGCCCAGCTGCAGGAGACCGGAACCAGCCGTTGGCTTGGGCACCGAAGAGAAGAGATGTCTGGCCACAAGGTGAAGGAAAACTCTGCAGTCAGCTGAGTACGCCTGGGGAAGGGTCACAGGCCCAACGGGGTCCTCCTTGCACCCCGAGGGCCCGCACACCTTGGCAGTTACAGCAAGAAGGGATCGGGGTTGGGAGAGCAGCTAAAAAGATACAACTTGGGGTCATTCTTGTAATGTTCCAGCCACTTGCGGTGAGCCTCGATCATGTCCTGGAAGTTGGTGCTGCCCGCCTCGGGGACTTGGGAGGGGGGACGCTGCAGGAGGCGGAGCTGCTCACTGCGGGGAGGGCAGAGGAGGCAGGAGTGCCAGAGGGGGGGGTCTTGGAGCAAGGCAAGAATGCCCCTCGGGGATGAGGAGCATCAGTTCCCGAAAGGGTGAACGCTCCTGACGGCGAGGCTCCCACATCTGCCTGTTCCCGGCCAATCTCATCTGCAAAAGCTTCCTCTCTATCGACTCAAACCTTCCAGCATCAGCTCCCAAGTGGGCCAAAGGGTGAGAGGGGTTGTACTTATGGTCGGGGGCCTGCAGGGGTACATCAGGGGCTACATGCGGTAAGGAATAAGATGAACAGGAAACTAATAACAGGTTTCAATAATTGCCCATCTGTCTCCCCCTACAGGGCGCCCCCTCTCACTCCAGATGTTGCTCAGCGGGCCTGGGGGAAGAAGGGAGCCATGTGATGCAGACAGAGAGCTCAGGGCAAGAGACGAAGGCCACACTTCAGGGCTGGAAGGGGCAGGGCCCCACCAGGGGCCCATTTCTCCCCAAGGTGCCACAGGACAGCTTCCTCACAGGGCTGGATCAGGTAAGGCCCGCTAGGCCCCGCTGGGACCTCATCGGTTGGGACTTTTGCTGGCTGCGGAGGTGCACCACAGACCCAGGCAGCTTCGTGGCCTGGGGACCTGCCTAACTGCTCTGGGTGATGTTACAAGGAGTTCTGGTCCCCTCCCAGGTCCCACCTGCCCAGGGAGCTGCAGCGAGCAGCTGAATGGTGTGGCTCCACCCTGAGCCCACAGGGAGGCTTACCTGGCAGACACATACCCCAGCCTGTTTTCCAGGGGGGCAGGGCCACTGCTGAGGAACGGGATGCCAGCTGGAAAAGTGGGAGGAAAGCGTTCAGAAATGGGCAGCGGTTCATCTGAGCCAGCCCCCTCCTGCCTTCCCCGAGAAACTGCAAAGGCACTGCCCCCAAACAAAAACAGGAGAAGCTTCTGTGGTTGGAGGTGAGAGACAGAGGATGGCCAGGAATGGTCCTATTTATTTTATTTCTAAAACTGAAATTATTTTCAATTTGGGCCGGGATAAGGAGACGAACTTTTTCCTTCAAATAACTGTTTTTATGGCTTTTCACATTCCTTAGCAGGGTTATGAGACCAGGGGAGGCCACATACAGCCAAGGGGTCATGAACCCTGGAGTCACACAGACATGGGGTCAAAACCCAGTCTGTTGCTCACTACCCTGGGTACCCTGGAGCATATTTTCAATACTTAACCTCTGAGTCTCAGTTTCCCTATCTGTAAAATGGGAATAAATATTATAACCTCAGAGGATTAATATAAGGACTAAATGAAAAACCATATATAAAATGCCTGGCCATAATATATAAAACACACAAGATGGCAGCGATCATGACACTGACAAGAGTGACCTCCTAGGTTCGGCTGAGCTCTAGCATCCATCGTAAAGGCCCCATCCGGTAAACCGTCAAGACACATAGGGCCTCCAACCACAGGGCGAGCAGCAAGGTCCTCTCAGGCACCCACCACGGAGTCAATGGGCCATGCCAAAGTTGGGGGCGAGGGGTAGGCAGAGGAGGAAGGCAGGGAGGCTGAACCCAGAACCACACGTGGCCTAGAGGGAGGCTTACTTGGAAAATACTTGCGCCACTTCTCCACCAGGAAGTCGTCCACAGTCTGAGCCACGGAGGAGGAGAGCCGGGGGCCCAGCTCTGGGTCCCAGGCCCACTGGGTGGACGTGGGTGGAGCCGGGGATGAGGCTGAGACCCGCACCAGGGAGGGGTAGGAGGGAGCGGGGGTGCTCCTGGAGGCCTGGGTGGGGAGCGGTGAGGGTGTGGAGGCGAAAAGCGGCGGAGGCTGGGTGTTAAGGCTGCCCAGCACGCTGAGGACACCGTTGAGCTGGCCGCTGATCCGCTGCAGGGAGCTGCTCAGGTAGTGGATCTTGTTGGGGAAAGTGGGACTCGGGGTCGGGCCGACTGAAAGGGAAGAGGCAGAGGGTGGGGCAGGACTCGGGCTCGGGGCCCTGGAATGGCCCAGGCCAAGCTGGCACTGTGCATCCTACTGGCCCACATCCCCACCCTTTCCCCGTTCCTCCCAACAAAAGCCCCAGGGCTTCTGTGTTCCAGACAGGAAGCTGGCCGAGAGAAAGAGCATCCCCAGGGTGAGGGCTGCCACCCCTTTGTAGGCCACAGCTGCAGAGGGAGAAGAGCCTCCCCGGGGGGCCGGGGACGGCACCAGGAGGGACCCCTGTCTCACTGTGAGGACCCTACACGATCAGAAGGCTTCCCCTGAGCCTCTGGGCCCAGTGTGCTGGGAAACCCAGAGGCTCACTCCTGCCCAAGCACCTGCTCCAGACACTGGCCCCCGGAGGGTGCAGTGCACCCCACAGGTGCAGCCCCTCCGTTCCCCATGGATACCCCACTCACTGTGAGGCAGGGCGCAGGATTCGGAACTGTCACTGCTCCCGTCTTCCAGGTCGCTGAGGTCAAAGGTCACCACCTTCTTGGTGGGGGGTCCTCTCAGAGTGTCTTCACCTGAAGCCTGGTGGGTGAAGCGGCGGTAAGGACTTGCCCTGTGCTTTCTGCCCACTGCCCTCGTGACACCTGAGGACTTGGTGGGTAGGCTCTCTGGGCCCAAAGTTCTAGGAGAGGCACGTCATATAGGCTGCCTTACAGGCGAGGCTAAGAGAACTCAGCCACCGAAGATAGGGCAGTAGGGCCACCAGGACCAGGCAGACCCCAGCCCCTCCCCCCCGGTAAACACTCCCCATGGTGTCTCTCCACCTAAGCTTCCCTCCTGTTGTACCTACACCTCTGGCATCTGGGGGTAAGGCTACAAGGCCTCAGGGAAGGTAGGGAACCCTTCTAGGAGCCTCTATTCTTGACACCCAGGGCAAACTTCTCCTCGGGCACCAGGGCAGGGGCCAGTCCCCTCCCAAGAACCTTCAGCAAGAGGCTCCGGGTCTGCTCAGGACCACTCAGCACAGAGATCCAAAGCCCCAGATGTGTTCAACAAATTCAAAGCTGAAGCCACTGCTGTTTTCACCAGCCCAGAAGCCCTAAGCCTACTGCCAATCCTGGGCCCTAGCAGCCCAGCTGTCCCGACACAGGACCAAAGAACCCAACCGAATCCCAGGAATAGAGGAGGGAGGCCACGGCAGAAACTGGGCTGCACCTCGTCCCAGAGAGAAGACTCCAGCTGATGCAGCTTCTCCTCCTTTTTCTTCAGCGGGTCGTGGCCTTTCCGCATGGCTGACGTCATCTCATCCAGGTGCCTGGTCTCCTGCAGCCACGAAGAAAGGGGAGGAGAAAGACGGTGACTAACCGCCCAGGCAGATGCCGGAGGCCCAGCTCTGCCGTTTGTAGGCTGGCTGATCTGGGTGATCTTGAACAAATCACTGAACTCTCAGTCTGGATATTCATCTAAAAAACAGAAATACTACTTCTCAGAGGGTTGTGAGGATTAGAAGAGATAGAGTATGCTACGTGCCCTCCACTATGCCCACTCCTAATAAATTCTCAAATGGTTACTGTTAACCAAATGCTTATTATTATCACTGCTCCAACCACCAATACTATCAGCGGCAACAGCAGGAGGGATTCAGCAGAGCAATGACACGGCCTGGGGGTGGCATGCAGATGTCCCTGGGAAGGCTGCCCCTCTATCGGGACCAGCCTCTTGCCCTCTGCCGCCCCCCAGCCAGGCTTAGGGGCCACAGCTCACTCACCAGCTCTGAGCACCCTCAGAATTCTACGGGACCAGGTATGATCGTCTGCCAAGACCCCCGAATGGCAGAGAGAGCTGTGATCCCACTGATAATAACCACAGCGTCTCTGACGTTTCATCGCAAATGAGGGTCTCAGAGAAGGAAAACAGAGAAGTAACTCAAGCTTATGCCAAGTGTGCTCAAAAGATTTTCACTTCTGAGTGAAGTCTTGAGTGTGATGGAATGGCCAAGCACTGTGGAATGTCTCTCCTCTTCCCCTAGAAAATGGGAATACCACTACTACCTTGCACATCATCTATGGATACTGTGAGGCCCAAATGACTTCCTATTAGAGAAAGCATTCCACACACTGCACTGGCACGTAGATGTAAGGAAGCTTCCATCCTCTTGGAGATCTTATCCTGTATCTCCTGTCTGGTCTCCCTAGACTTGTCCAGTGACCCCAAGGCCCATGTGACCACTCTCGTGTAGTCCCCAGAATGCTCAACTGAGGGCGAGCCCAAAGGGAGTGCCGCCGGCTGCCCCAGGCCTCCCCCGGGCTCCTGACCTCCTCCAGGTCCTTGCACATGTCCTCCAGGGCCTTGGTGCCTGGCGGGTCCTTGGCCGCCTCCTGAGCGCTGGCCAGCTCGTGGCGCCAGTGCTGCTGGGCAGCCTTCAGAGCTGTCTGCCGCCTCCGCATGGAGCGCGTCTGCCGGACCAGGAACTCCTTGGCGCTGCGGAGAGCTACCCCCTCGGCAGAGAGGTAGTGCCGGGCGCTGCGGGGGGACAGGGCGGGGGGTTGGAGGGGGAAACACACTCTCTGAGAACCCCTGCTGTGGGTCACAACCACTTCCCGAGCAGATGCCCATCCTGAGCACAGACTGCGGTGCTGGGGCCGGGCAGAGTGCGGGGACATCGCCACTAAATACCCACAGAGCACGGGGCATGTGCTGCGCTGAGTCCTCCCACCCTGACTATGAAAGGGAACGTGCCTGAGGCCTCCAGAGGTGGCTAGACACTCCCATCAGCCTGACCCACAAGCAGAGGTCAGCAGATGCCAGAGATCGCCATGGGCACCTTCTTGGCTTGTCAGAGACGATTCCTCAGGCACCCAGGGCCCCTTCCCTGAACCGAGCCCCACTGGAGACCACCGTCACGTTTCAGTCCACCCCGGCTCTGTGACGCAGGCACTCACTTACCCCTTCCTGGCATCCTCAATGCAAAATAAGACAGGTTATTGGAACTCACCTGTCCAAGGACAAGTCGGTCTCCTCCTTGCTCTGGGAGAGGGAAAAGGATACCTCTTTAGTCTGGTTCTAGGACACACAGTAGAAAAGGCCCATTGAAGGTAACATCAGATACACTACAGGCTCCAAGGACCCCAAAGTCCCTCCTAGTGGCCCAGACACAGAAATGGTTCTGCCAGCCGCTGGACTATTCTCTTACAGATATAATCTGACTGATGGAGAAGGGGACTAGGAATGATAAGAATAGGAGACCAAGGTTCTATGCAGAACAGAGCCAGGACCCCTCCAGGAGCCCAGAGTCCTCCTGGAGCCCCACGCCCCGGTGCCCCACCCCCTCCCGGCGCACTCTTGGAGGCCCGCCCCCTCCTGGTGCCTGGAGCCTTGCCCTAGCCCAGCCACCCTGACCCTCCCAAGGCACAGAAAAGCTCACCGTCCCAAGGGATTTCCTCAGGTCCTCAATGTGGAGATCAGGCTCAAAACGTGGGGAAGCGTTACTCTCTTCTACCGCCAGCTCTTTCAGCAAGTCCTGCTTCCTCTGAGCTTTGGCCTCCAGGTCACTGTGGTGGGAGACGAGGGGGGGGAGGTGGGGGGAGGCAGGGTCACATGACGAAGCAGACCAGGCAGCACGCTGTCAGGACTCCTGGGGGGAAGGGGGAGAACCATCTCCATCCCTTCACTCCTGTCAAAGACCCTGGAGGCAGAGCTGGGGCATGAACAGTAGAACCAGGGACCCCCGGCTACTCACAGCCCCAACTCCCCACAAAATGCAGCCCCTCCACCTGGCCCCACCTCTGCCTGTTAACTGGGCCGTGAGTAGACAGGGCCCATGAGCAGCAGACGTCAGAGGGCAGGCGAGAGGCAGTAGGGGTGGCTAAATGCAGGGGTACAGACCACCTGACATGCTTCTGCAGCCTCTGACTCTGGGTCTGCAGCAAATCCACCTGGGACTCCAGCTCCAACTTGCGGGCCTGAAGCTCCTCGAGGATTCTTCGGAGCTGCCGGTTTGACTCCAGCAGGTGGCTGTGCTCCTTCTTTGCCTCCTCCAGGTGCTGACGGGTGGCTGCGGCTTCCTGGGGGCAGGAGGAAAGAGAGACACACCCAGAGACATGGGGGGTGGGGGGGCGGGGCAGGCAGGGAGCGGGCAGCACCAGACAACAGGGAAGAGCAATGGGGAGAGGATGGAACCAGGCACACTGAAGGCCTGTGTCTGCCGTCAGTGGCAGTGTCCCCCACCGGGCCCACCCCCGGCGGCTCCTGAGCTGGTCCCACACGCTGGGGCCATCTGTGCAATAGCAGCCAACATAGTCTGGAACCCAATTCCGTGGACAGATCCGGTGAACAAAGGGGTGGGGGAGGGAAGGAAGTGGAATAGGGGAGATAGAGGAGAGAGGACAGGAGAGGCCGACAAACCTCGCGCTCCAACGCAAACTGCCTCTGCACATCGAGGAGCTGCTGCTTCTCCTTCCGGGCGGCCTCCTCCTGCGGGCGAAGGAGAGGACCAGCCATTTGGCCATCTCCGGGCCCCGGGTCCTCTCCCGGGGAAGCTGACTCCAAGGTCCAGGGTCCCCGAGAACCTGTCCTCTACCCCCGCTCCCGCACCTGGACATCCAGCTGAGCCAATCTGGCCTTGACATCCTTGGTTCTGGTTTCAAGCTCCACCTCTAAATCTTGGAGTTTCCTTTCCTGCACAGAAGTGTAGGTGGAGAGAAAGCCGTGAGCGTAGCAAGAGCACAGACACGTGCTGAGCGGCAGGAGGGGTTTGTGACCTACCACCCCACACCGCCTGCTCCAAGCTGGGCTGGCTTCCCCCACTTGCCCCCACGGCCTCCCAGCAGAGCACCACCTCTCGTCTATTTCAGCGGGGGCGAGGAGAGGCAAAGGTGCCAACCCCGAGGCCCGGGGCTGCTCACCTCCGCCTCTAGTCCTGGGGATGCTCCCTGGCCCAGAAAACAAAAGCGCAAGGATGCCCCAGCTTGCGCATGGCCAGCGAGAGACCCCCCACCCCTGAAGCTGTCAGGCTCCGTCTGCTGCTGCTGCAGTGCCGGCCCCCAGCACTTTTCTACCCGGGGTGGAGGGGTCGGGCAGGGCGGGCCCCAAGCGACCGTCCGTCCAGGGCCCCCACCTGCTCCCGGGGCCGCCGCCGCAGGTCCTCGAGCTGCCGGTCCTGCTCCTGCCTCACTGTCTCCAACTCCCGCTCGTGGGCCCTGCGCAGGCGCTCCAACTCTCCCGTCAGGTGCCCCAGAAGTTCGGCCCGCTGCTTCCTCTCCTGCACGGACGGTGGGGCCGCCAGTGGGAAACCACAGCCGCCCCTCCCACCCCTAAAACCACAGCCCACCCTGCAGCCTTGGGTCAGTGCCATCAGGGACCCCAACAGGCCTCTAAGGCCGGCTCTTGGAGAAGAGCAGGAGAGCACTGAGGACGGCGAGGTCCCGCCCCCAGAAAGCCTGCACCCTGGCTCTCTGCTGCTGAAACAATGCTGGTCAGACGTGCTGAGAAATCCCTGGGTGGAAGCCGGCCTCTCCCACCACCCCTGCACGTACAGCCTTCGTTCCTTAAGGGAAGAGAGATCCTTACTAAATTCTCACTCTTCCTCAGCAAGGGCAGAACTGGTTTGGGAAGGGAGTCAACTACATTTCACCACGATGGGCCGCTATTTCTGCCCTGGTGCAAAGAGTCTGGGATACCGGTTCCAGTTACTGGAGGAGTAGCCTAGAAACCCTGGGTAGAGGCCTGGCTCTGGGCTAAAGTCAGCCACCAGCCCTCCCCGTCGTCCACCCCCAACGTGAGCAAGCCGGCATGGGTCCACTTAAGTCACTGAACGTTCCCACCGAAGGCTGAAGTTGGGCAGGTAATATCTAAATATTGGGTGGCTCTTGCCAGTCTATTTCGTGGTGTCCTGGAATTTCTATTAACCCTGGTGGCACGGTGTTGGGTGGTTAAAATTGAAGACTTTGGAGTCAGACATTCTGGCTTGAATCCTAGCTCCTCTACCTACTAGCCAGGGTGGGCTTGGGAGAGTTGCTTACACTCCCCAAGTCTCAGTTCCCTCTTTTTAAAATAGAGATAATGATAGTATGAACCCCCTAAGGGTGTGGTGAGGACTAAATGAGGTAATATACATAAAGAGCTTAGGACAGTGCCCGACACGTCGCACAAGCTCAATACACGTCAGCTATTATCAATATGAGAGCCAAGTGCAGCCTGTTGATGGGGAGGAATCGCTCCTCACCTAATGCTTTAGTAAAAAGGCAAAACACGATCTCACCATTGCAGGGTGCCAGGAAAGAAAGCCTCCCACCATCCCCGACCACAGGTGGTCCCCTTCCCAGGCCCTCCGGCCAGCTGGGAATGACCCCGGTGTGTGTGTGTGTGTGTGTGTGTGTGTGCGTGTGCACGCACACGCACGTGCCAGGGAGCGTGGCGGGGTCACCTCGGCTTCATACTGCTCCCTGGCCTCAGCCACCACTTGCTGATGCTCCTCCTTCATCTTGTCCATCTTCCTCTCGTGTTCCCTCTCCACCTCCTGGCGCTTCTCTCTCAGGAGGCCACTGAGCTGCAGGGCAGGCGGCAGGGATGCGACATGCAGGACTGAGGCTGGAGCAGCACCCGGGGACTGAAGCACTTGAAGGGACTCATACACACATGTGACACAACCTCCCCAATGTCCCCACGTGCACACGTCAGGTGACATACACACGGCCACACCCAGCACGCCCTCCTCCTCACATATAGGGCATGGGGGTGGAGAAGCACTTGGCCTCCAGGGAACTAAGGCATGAAAACGGACCCTGAAGTCCTGACCCCAGCTGAGTTGTCCAAAGCAAAGCAGAGGACCCCTGGGCCAGGATGGCTCGGCCGACCGTCAGAGTGTCCACGACAGGTACACAGAGTTGAAGGAGCAGACCAGCACTCACCTCTTGCTCGTACTCGAGAACGTGGTAAGCTTTCTGATGAGCTCTCTGCTCCGCCCGCCCAAGGCTCTCCTGCAGCTGGGCCTCCTCTTTCTGATGAGCTTCCTCCATCTTCTTCTGGAGGCTGGAGACCACCTGAGGAGGCACCCACACAGGGGAGCGTGACCCGCAGAGAGCGCTGCAGAGTGGCCGCGGGGGACTCGCTTCCCAGGGTCCCAGCACCCATCCCCCCGGGGGCTGCAGGAGAGGGAGACTCCCTCCCTAGGGGATGGGGTGTGGGTGATGGGTTTCCCGCGGCTCACACCCCAGGATGCCCAGGGTCTGCCCCGCCGGCCAGGGCCACCGCCCCTCACCTCCCTGTGCTTGGCCTCCAGCGAGGAAGAGAGCCGCTCCAGCTCCTCTCTGTGCTCCCTCTCCAGCGCTGCCACCGCCTGGGGCAGAACAGAGGGCCTGTGAGGACGCAGGGCAGGCTGTCCGGGCTCTGACCTGAGACGAGGAAGAGCCAGAAGACCACCCCCAATGCCTCTCGAGCTAAGCACTCAAGGGGAACCGCAGGCACATCTTTGTTCCTCCGAAATAACTGTCCCTCAAGTCTGCACCTCGCAAACGAACAGGGACGTGAACGCCAGAGTGGAGGGGCCTTTCAGTAAGGCTCGGTCACGGCTTCCATTCCCCTGCCTCTAGGCCACCGGTACATAGGCAACACTCCTACCTGTGCATAAGCACCAGGCAGGGAGGCCTGCATGTCTCAGCACCACCTCCCAGAGCACGTGCAGTACAATGATGTCCCCACACCCCCCACGCCTCGCTGCAGACACCCTGGGCCTGAGAGCTAAAACTCCATCCATCACCAAAAGAAAACAAAAGTTCCATGTGGCCTATTACCTACTTCAGCCTCTTACCTAGAGACAGACCCACTGGACTGGAGGGACAGGGAGTAAGGACAAAGGAGAAAAAATTCCTCTGAGCGGGCTAGCCTCTCACTCTGAGGCAGGGGAGGAAAGGAAAGAAACGCGAGGTCCTCACAGCTGCCCCTCAGGGACAAGGACAAGGCCCCTTTGTCTCAAGAGCTCTGGTCTGGTTTAAGTTCTTTCAGTCATGAAATCTTCCCAAATCCACAGGCCAGGTCCACACGGGCCCAGACAGCCGGCCCAACATCTCGTTGCCCATCCACGCAGACACCCGTTCTCCACCTGGCTCCCCACCCTGCGCCCCAAGGCTGGCGTTTCCTCTTCCTCAGCGCTCAGTTCCTCCCCAGGCAGCTCAGGATCACACTGGGGTGGGGAGGGGGCCGCTCACGTCTTTCCTCTCCCCTTCCAGCTGCTCCCTCAGCTGCTGCAAGGCCTTCTCCTTCTCCGTGTTCAGGGCGGCCTGCTCTCTCTTCTCCGAAGCCTCCATGTCTTCCCTGAGACGCTCCAGCGTCTGCCTGTTTCTCTCTTCCAAGCTGGCCCTCTCAGCCTTCTGTAGAGACTCCAGCTCTTCTCGCAGCCTCTGCAGGGAAGCCTCGTGCTCGGCCCTGGGCAGACAAGCGGGTGGGGATGGGCCTGGGCACTGGGGGAGGCGGGGGTGGACCTCCAGGGGGCCGGGCAGCCCACAGTCCGCACTCACCTGATATGGTCCTCATCCGCTTCCACGCTGCACTGCACCTGGCCGCAGAGCCGGGACAGACTCTGGCCCTCCTGCTCTCTCACCAGGCTCTCCTCTTCCTCGGTGGCTCTCTGCAGCTGCTCCGTCAGGGAACTGTGAAGCAAAGGAAAGGCAAGTTTGTTGGCGGGACCACAAGGCCTTCCCTCTTTTAGGCATAACCCCTGGCTCTCGGCCTCCAAAAGCCCATAGCCTGCCTGTGAAGCTTCCTAAGTCTTTTTTTTTTTTTTTTTATTTTTTTTTTTTTTTATTATTTATTTTTGGCTGCCTTGGGTCTTTGTTGCTGTGTGCGGGCTTTCTCTAGTTGCAGCGAGCGGGGGCTACTTTTCGTTGCGGCGCGCGGGCTTCTCATTGCAGTGGCTTCTCTTGTTGCAGAGCACGGGCTCTAGACATGCAGGCTTCAGTAGTTATGGCACGTGGGCTCAGTAGTTGTGGCGCACGGGCTTAGTTGCTCCGCGGCATGTAGGATCTTCCCGGACCAGGGCTCAAACCTGTGTCCCCTGCATTGGCAGGCGGATTCTTAACCACTGCACCACCAGGGAAGTCCGAAGCTTCCTAAGTCTTAAAGACGAGTCTAACCTCAGCCTCTGGGTCCTGCTGCCTCCCTCTAATACCTCCCCAGGTTAGAGGGGCTATGAACCACCTGCTCTTTGCTGCCGGAAGCAGATTACAGGCTCCATGATCCCAGCACAGCATTTCTGCCAAAGGCTCCCCTCGGCCTCCAGGTTCACCTCGGTGGCGTTCACTCAAGGTGGGATCCAGTCTGACTCCAGCCCAGCTCTGGCCACAGCAGATGAGCCACCCCCTCTAAACCCCACTACACTATTCCCTGCCTCTTGGCCTTTGTTCATGCTGGTTCCCCCATCTAGAATCCCCTTTCCTACCTGATGAACCCATGTTCCTTGTTCAACACCCAGCTCCCTCCTCTCAGAGAAGTCTTTCCAAGTTCATCAATTACCTTTCTGCTCCCAACACACTTTATATGAGGACCTTTCTTAACCATGCCGCTCAGTGCCACGCATCACACTGCACCATAATTAATTAATCTTTTGTATGTGTGTTTTCCTTACAAGCCTGGGAGCTTCTCCAGAGAAAGAGTCTTGTCTTAAAACCTGTTTTATCGTAAGTGCCAAACACAGTAACAGATATGACGTAGGTACTCAATGCATGTTTGTTGAATTTGAACAGTATCACCCAGGCCTAAACTATAAGCAAGCTTTGATTATCTATGAGGGGTATCTTGCTTGCAGACTAACGATAGTAACCTTCTCATCCCAAGCAGACAACCCTCCTGCGGCCCCCACGTGACCAGGGGCTGGGTGCTGTGCACGATTCAGAAGACAATTTCTTTGAAAAGCTTCTGGAGTGAATTCCAAAGCCAGAAAAGATTTAGGTTCATTTCCTATTTTAAGTTATCAGCACCACTGCTCTCTTCCATGATGACAGAAAATTTGAGTGAAGTAAAAATCCTTCCTTCTAGATTCCCCAGAAACCATTTCTCTTCATCCCGTGGCCAAATGTTACACGTAGCACCGCAGAATGGCAGAGCTGGAAAGGTCTTTAGAGGTTAAGTCCTGCATTTTACAACTCTCCCTCTTCATCTTACAACTAAACTCAATCTCCTTGTTTTGTAACTAAAGAAACTGAGAGTTAGCCTGTCTGCCTTACTGCCTGCTTTCTCATTCGAGAAATATTTGCTACAAGGTCAGCTGGGGTTTCCAGAAATTTCTACCAAGTGGCAGTTTCCCAGCAGAGGAGGCGCCACCCCTCAGAAAGGCTCACACGTAAACAGAAACAGGGTTCTCGTGATAAACTACTTGGAAGACAGCCAGGCAAGGCACTGCCCACAGAGAAACCACTTAGTCAAGACCGCTGACACTGTACTGATTTCGACTGAAAATATTTACAATCAAGAGCCATCATTTATTGAGCAACTACTGTGTTTCAGGCCCTGAGTCGGACACTTTTGGCAGGCTGGTTTTCACCACGACTTGAGAGGTCTCTGGGAGGCCCCCTCTGCAGTTGGGGGGTTTGGGGAGGGACAAAAGGCACAGTCAGCCCAGCTGAGGGTGACTGGGAAGAGAGAGGAGCCTGGTAGGTGGGCAGGGAGACACCACGGGGATTTCCTCCCAGGCACTGTCTCTCAAGGTGAGCTGAGTTGCACCCTGTTTGGGTGGGCCCCCGCCCCAAGTTTCAGTTGGCTGGAAGAGGAAGATGCTGTGGGAAGATCTGTTCTCTGGGATGCACTCTGGCTGGGGACCCAGGAGGGGTGACATAAGGATGGACCCAGGGTCAGTAGATCCTGTGTTGGGCTAATGAGAGAGACTGTCCCCAACCCTCTGGGTAGTTGGGTGTTGGCTTTGTTAGTTTCTCTAAATTAAGCATAAATATTTTTATAAGTCTTTGCTACATATGATAGAAAAATAGAAAGTCTCTAGCACTTTCGGATGTTCTGTCCAAGAGGACAAGATTTAGCCTTTAGTTTAATTGCTAAGTAAGTGAAATATATTAACATCTTTTTGTAGCACCTTTCCCATCCTGGGACTGTGACAGAGATTGCTTATTACCCTTCTCAATATCCATTCTCCCATTTTTCTTTACTAAGAGAACCCTGATTTTTTTTCTATCAGGTACAGAGGACCAGCTGAAGGAATACATTTCCCAGTTAGCCTTTGCAACCAGGGGTAGTCAGCCAGATATAAGTGGAAATTATTGGGTAAAGTTTCCAGGAAAACTCCTTTAAAGAATAAGCAGAAGTTATTGGGTAAAGTTTCCAGGAAAGCACCTTCAAAGGGACTGAATGAGCTAGAAGGTGCCCCTAATCTTCCTGCCTGGAGCACAGATACGATGGCTGGAGATCCAGCAGCTATACTGGACTGTAAAGAGACCCTGAGAGTAAAACCCAGCACTAAAGATGGCAGAGACATGAAAGGAGACCAGGGACCTGGTGACTCTGTGTAGCCATCATGCCAGCCCTGAACTGCCTCTTCCTATAAAAATAAAACTCCAGCATACATACACACAATCCTGTACACGCGGGCCCAGCCCAGGCTTCCATGTCGCATTTGTCTAGGGCCTCGCAGACAGCTACTCAAAGAGTAGGAACCCAAATAGAAACTTCTGGATCCGAGAGCACCTCACACCATATCACGTGGTCCCTCCCAATCTCAGCGGGTTCCAACAGGGCCCTGACTCCCAAGAGAGAGGACGATGTAGTTGTTCTCTGGAGACAAACCGCCTGGGTTAATCCGGGCTCTGCTGCTTACAAGCCTCCATACCTGGGACAAGCTACTTAACCTTTCTGTGCCTCAGTTTCTTCATCTGTATTATAGATGCTACAAAACAGAATTGATGACGACACCTCATAAGGGCCATTCCGAGGACTGAACAAATTAATAGACGTAAAGCATATGGATCAGTGTAATCTCTCAAAAAATGTTAGCTACCCTCATTATGATCACGCCTCCCAAGTCCTCCCCAAAAAGAGGAAAAGCACGAGCCCTGGCCAGGGAGCCCACCCCTCCACACGGGCCACTGGCGAGCAGTCCTGGAGGGGCCCCGGGCATCCCCGTGGCTGCCAGGCTGGGAGGAGGGTGTCCCTGCACAGCCGGGGCGGCTGGACTGGGGTCGGGGCGGGACCTGAGCGCCTTCTCTTTCTGCCGGTGAAGCTGCAGGGTCTCCACCGCCTCCTCCTCCTGCCACAGCTTCTCCTGCAGCCGCGGCATCTTCTCTCGCTTGGACTCCAGGAGCCACCTCTGCTCTTGCTCAAGTCCTTGGGACACCGCCTCTTCCGAGGCCTTCAGTGCAGCCTCTGAGAGCTGCTCTGGGGGAGCCGCAGGCTCTGTAGATCGCCTGCCAAGGGTGGAAGCAGCATTTCACTAGGTTTACTATCCACCCACCTTTTGGCACTAGGATTTATACAGATACAGAACAGCACATACGGAACCCTAACAGAGGGCCCAGGGTCAGGAATCATAAGTGCAAATCACTGTACCCAAGGGCGGGCAGCAAGGCTACCCTCTCGAAGACACAGGCAGCATTTGTTCTATAGGACAAGCCCCACGGTGGCTGTCAAAGGCCCCGAGAGCCTGGGGATGAGGGTGCCCCGTAGGAGGCTCTCAGGGCACCTGGTGGGTTGTGGCCTGAGTGAACACCCAAGCTGTGGCTCAAGGGCTGGCGGCAGCAGGAAGAGAGCGAAGCTCTGTCCCTCATGGATTCCTCCCCAGAGTGGCTCATGGCCCTGTTTCCGACTCCCTACCAGGGCTCTCCCTGCTACTTGACGCTCAATGCCAGCAGTTTGGGAAGTCCCCAGAGGCTGCTCTCTGACTCTCAAACTGAACAGAGGCCAGTGTGTATGAGCCAGCGGGAGAAGCAGCAGCATGTCTCCTCGCTGCTAGAACTCCTAGCCCTGAGACCTAGAATAGTCCATGGAGGCCCAGGAATGGGAAACTGTCCTCCCCACTCTGCCAAGGGAGCCGGGCAGGAGACCCTTCCCTAAGCCAAAGACAGTAGCAAGAGCACAACCAGAATGCCAGGCTCCGTGTCTCCCCGACGATGCCACAGCTTCGTCCGTGTAGAGTGCATTCACTGTTCGGAAATGTGGAAAGGAAATTCTAACGTGGATGCATAAGGCGGGTGGTAAGATAAGGAACACTGGTATCGGTTAAAGAGACGTCTATAATGAAGACTGTTATGTTGCTTGTATTCTGGTTCTTAAAGGAGATACCCAAAGAGAAACCCCAAGAACATTTTAAGCAACGAAAGCATAAGCGGGATAAAGTGTTTTGCCTCCCAGAGCAGCTTTCCTAAAGGCCAGGACATGCTGGCATTCCCAGGTCCCTAAATCTTACATCAGAAATTGGTCTGGCCACCCAACCACCATCTTCTCCCACGGTGCTCCAGCTGCGGCAGGCCTGGCACGGTGGCCCAGTGGACCCCAACGGCATATGGACGTGGTCCAATCAAGGACAATGGGGGCCAGAGCCCAAGAGGGGAGCCAGTCCCCCGTCCACCGCTGGGGATGTAAAACTCCCTCCTCCCTCAGCTCCCACACTGCAGCAGACAGAAGGCATCGGGCGGGATCAAATTAGAAGAGCAGAAGTAAACAAGGGCTCTGGAATTCCATTTCAGCCCCTTGAGGCCAGAGAGAGAAGGAAGACACAAAAGGCTACTGCTATCTCTGAAATATCATTAAGATCTTTTCTAAAATCATGACTCAGACCAGAGGCAGTCTTGAGTCCTGCCTTCAGTTCTCTTCTGCTCCCAAGCCCGTCTCCCCCCTTCCAATTCCCAGCTTCCTCTCAGTCCCCTGTCCCAGCCCGACTGATGCAGATGTAAGACGTGGCCGCCACCTCCTCTGAGAATCCCGCCCTCGGAAAGAGCCTCCCCCCGCAGCTCTCAGCCTCATCAACCCTCCAACTCATTTCCAACCTGAGCTGAAATCACCTTTTTTCCCTGAGATGGTACCTTTTAATGTCTCTCTCCCCTGTGGGCTACGTAGTTGTGTGGAGCCCTGGGGACAGATGCTGCGGAGAGATGGGGCATCAGCCGGCGTGCCCGTGTGTGCCCAGGCTGCACGCACCACTGAGCCTGCCTGCACGTCTGGCACACAGGCAAATGGGGCTGCTTTTCAGTGGGCCTCTCCTCCGTGTCCCTGTTTTAAAGATCGAGTGTCCCAAACTCCCAGCTTAGGTCCGAGGCGGTCAAACAGTGAGCCTGAAAGATCTATGAGATAACTGGGCAGTTGAAGACTCCAGAGGAAGAGGCAGGTCCGATTTCTAGGCCACTCCTCAGGTATCAGCATCAGTGAGACACAGTTTGCAACAGTTAGTGGCCAAGAAGAGGCTCAGTAAGAGCGTCATCCTTTCAGACGGGCCACCGAGTTACTCCGAGCCGTATGAGGGAAAGCAAAGAGAGAAGGCGGGCAGGGAGGGAGGAGAGGGAGGCGGATATGATACCCATGGCCCTGAAATGGCCAGGGTACCGCTAAAACTCAGATCACTATCAGGGATCTTGTCTCCGCTCACTTTCAACCCAGTTGTTTTAATTCATTTACCCTCTCTCTATACACACCTCATGAAAGATGCTGGGATGACAAACGGAAGGGTATCCTTGTTTCCCAGACCCAGGCCTCTGGCCATAAAGCACACACAGCGGCGGCTGCTTGCTAGCCCTGCCTGCACTCCCTGACCTGCCCTTTGCTCTGAACTCCTCCTGATTCAGCTTGACAATATCTATGCAGGTGACAGACTCTACTAATCATGCTTTTTATTTTCTGTATTTCATGATGTTATGGCATCTGAAAAAGCTGGCTGGTCAAAGAGAGGGTGCCCCCTCCCAGACCAGCCAATCCTTAGAGACAGCAAAGGGAGTATGTCTTTCACATGCAAACCAACCAATCCCTACACCCCCTACCATCTCCTGATCTATTTCCCACGCCCAAAATCACCCAGGGCCAGGCACCAGGTAACTAGAGACCAGGCCCAGAGCCCTCCAAAATTATTCAAACTTTCCACCCCTCCACTCGCTCAGGGTACTTACCCTGTCTCGCCCATTGCTTCCCACGAAAACCCCAATAAAGGCTCTGGGTTACGCTCTTCCTTCTCGCCTCTTCGGCCTCCTGGCCAACTCTGGTCCTTCCCCACGTGGCCCCACCCGGCATGGCATGCCCTCTTCTCTCTGGAAATATAAGGAATAAATTCTTCTTTCAGTGGCATTGGCCTCTCTGTGTTGTCACTCAGTCACCTTCATAAATGAAAATCCCATGGATACAAATGAGGCACAGACACAGGGCCACTCCCCACGAATCCCAGAAAATCAATCCATTCTTAACGTAGCTGTAAAGATTAATAACAAGGAAGTTATGGAGCCTGAGAAGACTTAGGAAAGGAACAGAAGACATTTCCTAAGGGCGCTGTGTAAACTGAAACTGTGTGGTCCAGGAGAGAGCCCCCCAGCAGGGGCAGCCTCACTGGGGTGGGAGGAGAAACACAAAGGAAGGGAACTCATCAGCCCAGGCAGCCAGGAGGAGCCTCACTGGCCAGCTTCTCTTCCAGAAGCCCTGGGAAAATGCCCTCTGACCTCTGCCCAGAGGGTCCTGTTTCTGAACCCCACTCACCTCCTGTCCTCATCAAAAGCACCCTGATCTGGCTGCCCACAGCCACCCAGGGGACCTGGGAAAGCTATGTCATTCCTCAGGGGCAGAGCTATCACTGTGGGATATATCACCACCTGAAAAACGGGCTACCCCTTCCCTACATCACTCCTGCAGCGCTACAGCGATGACATGATTGTGCACTCACGTGCCCCGCCAGCTCTCGGTGACGCTTCCTGTGAGTAATCAGGGCATGAACCTGTCTCTGCCCAACAGTCAGCCCGAATCCTGAGGACGCTTCATCCTTTTGTGCTGCTCAGTTCACAGACAGGAAAACCTGTATCACCCTGACACCCGTTTCTCTCCATGCAGAGAAAAGGCACGGTGGCTACAGAGCAAGAGTCAGAAGTCGACGGCTCAGGCGACTAGAGGGCTCAGGTCCTAATTCTGCCAACCGACTGGTGACGTGACCTTGGGCAAATCACTTCACCTCCCTGAACCTCAGTTTCCTTATCTCTAAAAGGGGTGAGAAAGGGGAGGAGAGCGGAAAGGTTTCTAAGTTTTAGAAGCGCTTGGTGCAACAGCACAGCTGAGCTTTGAACCCAGGCACAAAAGATATATACTGTGTACTGGATAATTCCATTCATATGAAGTTAGAGAACTGGAAAAACGAATCTATGGGACAGAAGCTAGAATAGCAGTGACCTAGGGCAGGTGGACTGAGAGGAAAGGGACCTGAGGAAACTTTCAGGAGGGATGGAAATGTTCTGCTAATGATCTGGGTGGTTGTGATATGGTGTACACGTATGTAAACACTCACTGACTTGGACATTTCAGATGTATGTTCTTTCATGTATATAAATACCTCAATAATTTTTTCAAAGAAAAACATGCTTGGTAGAGGGGAAAACACGCTTTACCAGGTTTCTGCTAATGACCCAGGAGATACCCTACCCCCTCCCCCTCGCTTCCAGCCTCGTACCCCAGGTGCTGACCAGGGGAGCCCCGGGGGCTGCTTAGGGGTCAAGGTTGCACGCAGAACCAAGGGTTCACTCACTCTCCCCCCACTCCACTCCTTGAGCCGGAGCCAGAGCATCCCCTCCCCACCATCCAAGACCAGATGGGCACTGAAGCAATCCACACACAGTGGAGGGCAGGGACAGATGTGAAAACTGGCCCTTACACCTCTGGAGAGACTGGCAGGGTGGGGCCGACCGCCACCTTCTCCTAGGGCCCCTCGGCCTCATCCTGCCCAGGGCCCGGCCCCTCAGCCTGGGAGCACTGCTCCTCACCCCTCTCGTGGGCGGCAGGTGGGCTTTGGATCTCTTCCTTTGACAGCAACAAGGAAGCAATTGTGTTAAAGCCAGAGGAAGGTGAGAGGCTCCAGGTGTACCCCATTCAGGGTCAAAGGTCTGTGATGGGGACAAAGGAGGCAGCGGCCCCGGCAAGACCTGTGGTTTCCCTATCTCAGGTCTCAGATCCCAGCTCCCCTCCCTGCCTCTCCCCGAGCAGTTTACACTGAAGGACGAGAGATTCGCGTCCCAGGTGGGATGCAGAATGGTTATGGCGCCCAGGAGAGGCCCTGCACACAGCAGAGTTCCGCGGATGCTGCCGACTAAACACGGCTGCTACTCAGCCTCCCCCAGTGACTCATTCCAACCAGATGAGCTCTAAGACCAGTGTCTTTCTCTTGCCAGGGGAACAAACTAGCAAGTCTACACCGGCTCTGGAGCAGGCTAGGGAGTGAAGGTCCTCTCAGCTGGCCTCAGGGAAGCCCCGGGCCCTGCACCCAGCAGGCCTCCCCACAGGCTTGCTGAGTGACTAGCAGTGGGATGCCTGCTGGGAAGGAGGGGGCTGGCAGGTGGGGGCCGGAAGAAATGGCCCCCCTGGCAGGACCAGCCTAGTCCAGGGTGACAGCAGTCTCTGCCCCGGCCCCTGGCAGGAGGGCAGCTGGGTCAGAAGACATACTTCCTAGTTCCAGAGTTTCTAAGCTCCCCTAATCAGACTGTGCACCCCGACTTTAGCTGTAGGCCAAGGACGAGGAAGAGGCAGATTTCCTAGCTCTCCAGCTCGTGTGAAACACTCAGCAGAAATGTCTGTGGTGGCTGCAACCCCGCCCCCTGCTCTCCCCACCTCTCCAGGCCCGCCACGCCCACCCTGGGAGGCTTCCAGCCCACCCTTACCTCTGCAGGGAACCAGGGGGCGTGCGGCTGCCTGCAGAGCCCTCCCCAGGCTCCTCTGCCCCCTTCTGTTCCAGCTGCTCCTCCAGGGGCTGCGGGGGCCCTTCATCCGTGGCCTGGCTGTGAAGGGGACTCTGGAGCCGCTCCCCATGCAGAAGAGGAGGAGATAACCTGGGCAGAGCAGCAGAGTCAGAGCCTCCACTCGGACAGCAGCAGGAGAATTGGGGAGTGGAGTACGGGGACCGAGGTCCATGCCTCCTGCGGGCTGGACCTCAGCCGGGGCCCCACCTCCATGGAGAGCCCACGGAGGCCAAAGCAGCCAGAAAAGCAGGACGAAGGAACTCCCTCCGGAGCTCTCCCTTTGCCTGGACTACACTCAGCCTTCATTTGCTTGGCCCAGGAGTGAGAGCTGGGCACACTCACAGGTGTACGCATTCCTGCCATCACTGGGGCCGGGGAGAGTGTGTGCGTGTGTTGGGGGCGGGGGGTGATGATGGAAGAACTGAGCAGAAAAGAGGGAGATTAAGAGAAGCCAGACTCCCACGGTCAGACTATAGACAATGCATGAAGCTGTAGCTTCAAGTAAGAATGCTGATAGCTTTTCAAGGTCCAAAAAGTAGAACGACCACCCACTTCCCCTTCCAGGGTGGCAGCCCTTCTCTTATCATGGGCTCAGGCCTGAGAAGCTGGAAGCTCCTGTCTCTCAATCTCTCTCTCTCTCTCACTCTCTCTCTCTCACTCACTCACACACACACACACACACACACACAGCCACGGCCATTTCTGATGTGGTAAGGCCTGGCTCGGAGCTCTGAGCTGCACTACCAACCCTCTAACATGGTCCCCCGGACCTCGAGCAGGCTATCCAGCCCTGGCCCACGAGCAGGGACACACAAGGCTTCATCCAATCTGATGAAAAGGACAGAGCCTTGTCCCCACAATGGTGCTATGGGCACAAAGTACTCCCATATGCTCCAGCAGTACCTCCCACTCCTGACTTGGTTTGGGTACACACACACACACACACACACACACACACACACACACACACGCACACGCATATGCACACGCACACACGCAGACTTTGCAAGGCCATCCAGTCAGTTCACCATCTGCCTTCAGGCAGGAGCACACCGAGGTACGTAGACCAAAGCCAGGAATTCTGCCCAGGTCCACGCCATCCCAAAGTCCCTGAGGGTGGCCTCCCACGCACTATACCTCTCCGAGCCTCTGGACTTCTTGCTCTGCAGCTCATCTTGGCTGGACTGGCTGGCATCCTTGTCTTCTCTCCCCAACCTCTGGGCCTGTAGGCAAGTAGCAGTGGAAAGTGTATACTTTGGGGGTTGGGGGGTCTGCATTGGGTCCTTTAATCCTCCAACTGACTCTCATGCCAGGAGGAAGCACTGAGAGGTGGCTCTTGGTGAGTGAGGACCACTCGGGATGCAGAAGAGAAGGTCGCCTACTGCACAGTGAAGGCCCTGGGGCTTTGGCTAAGCCCCCAGGCTCACAGCTGCTCCCAGGGCCAGCCTTGCTGGCCTGGGGAGGATGAGTCAGACACCAAAGCCACTGCAGGCAGAGGCAGAGGCTGAAGCAGAACACATAAGAAAAAGAAAATCCTGCCTTCTGCAGTTGGAAACCCTTCACTGCCAGTTGTACAAAGTGGAGCCATCCATGAACACCCCAGATCCACAGAGGCCCCAGACCACCAGTGCCAGTGATAATCGGGGACGCTCAAATTAAGCGAACAAGACTGGGCACAGCAGACAAGTGCGTCAAAGAGGAAGGACCCTGGAGACATGGAGACTTGGTGAAATGACAGAGAGCTGTACTCCAGACGAGAAGGGCACTGTGTGGGCACCTGAAGGGAGGAAGACGGGGCGCTCCTCTGCTCCCCCGACACCCAGGTCCCATCAGTAGACAATGATGCCCCCTTCCTAGTCAGGGATTTTACCAGCCAGACAGCGCAAAACAAAAAAAAAAAGCCAACCCCAAATCTCATTTTAAAGCTTAGGCGTCTAGGCAAATTTAGCAAGCTGGTGAAAAAGGACTATTTTTGATACATTCACATATTTTCTGCAGGGGTGAGGTCACACGGGGAGAGTAGGGCAGTCAGCCTGGACTCAACCCTCTGTTCTAACACCTCCTCCACTACGAAATGGGATAGCAAACCAGAGCTCACAGGGTGAAGATTAAATGAGATCACGTACATAAAGCCCGACTCCGGCCCAAAAGAAGGCATAATGCCACAAATATGAGCTCTCCTCTTCCCCAGCCTGAGGAAAAACAAAACACAAAAGAAACCCAGCTTTGCCAGTGCCAGTCCCCATCCTAGGACCTGCACTCCTTCTGTCACACTGACAGGAGCCCTGTCTGTTCCGGGACACGAGGGTTAACAGGAGACATGGGGCAGGAGACAGACAGCTCACTCCATCTTCCCCAGTAGGGCTCCGGCCGGGCTGGCACACCTCCGTGTCCCCAGCCCCATGCCCCCAGCCCCCCACACCTCTCCACTGGCAGCCTGAGCCCCAGCAGCTGTGGCCGACTCTGCCATCTGGATGGGTCTGAACTATAAGCCAGCTCCACCAGATTACATGAAAAATAGCAATGCTGCCTGGGAGTGCCTCCTGGTGCCCGCAGCAGAAGGGCTCCCTGCCAGCGCTGCCACTCCTAATCGCATCAGCCAGGCAGAGCCCGCAGACAATGGCGGGGCGGGCCGCCCTTCTCCCACCCCACCTCCTTCCCTTCCAGAGCTCAACTCACAACTTGTCTTCCCTACAATTCACAACGAGCTCAGCAGACAGCTCCCCCTCTCTTTTCAAGGAAAAACAAAAACAAAAACAATCACACAGGCCAATCTATTTCACAAACTAAAATACAAGATGGGTAACAAAGTGCAGTGATTGTAATTAATATCGGCGGACGGAGCCCTGAATCAGAAAGGACAAGCTACAGACAAGGCCTGTCTATTTCCTTCTTATTTCACCTTCCATATTTCTGCTAGAAACTCAACTAGCCCCCAGCTAGAGAATAAGGGACACCTTGGGTAAGTACCCAGACAGAGGTCCTTTGAGCAGAGTTTTTACCTGCTCCCTAGACATTTTTGCCCCAGAAAGGGAGTCAAAGGAACCAGACAAAGAAATCAGACATATCGGCACTCTTCAGAAAGGGGAGACACAAGCACATTCTAAGCCTCCGGCCTAAGACTGCTCAAGACGCCACTTCCCCAACCTAAACTTAGCTCCGGGGTTTTGTTTTTTGTTTATGATGCAGTCCTCAGTTTAATAAATCCCAGTAAGTCACAGTGCATTCATAAAGCAGAATGCTATGCAACCAATAAAAGGAGTAGGGCAGATCTGAAATAGCATAGAAATAAGTTAAGGGTCTATTCTCGAATTTGAAGAGCATATTGCCAAGCAGTTTTCAATAGCACAGTTCCAATTTCTGTGGGGAAAAAAAGATTAACAAATAGAAAATAAATACATGCTTATATGTGTACAGAAAATTTTCTGGAAAGGCACATTGAAAATGTTAATGGAAACTAACAGTCCCTACCCGCGGGAGGGAGTAAGGCTGCAGGAAGTAGAAGACTTTGACCTTCTGTATTATTTGAAATAATTTTATGGTCATTTTTTGTAACCTATTATAAAATTCATCATGTTCGTAATTCATTATAATCATTATCTTGACCGTGGTGGTGATTTGAAAGGTGTAAACATATGGTAAAACTTATCAAATGGTACCATTTATATGTGTCCAGTTTATTTATGTCAATTAGATCTCAATAAAGATGCATAAAAAATGTTTAAGTGAACAAAAATTAATTTAGCTCAGTTCTAAGCTTCTGCACTGGCCCTGGCCTTGGGAGAGATCCAGAGAATATGGAAAATGGACAAGTGTCCCCCGGATAGACAAAGGGGACTGTACCTATGGTTCAATCCGTCCCACAAAGAGGCTGCTTCTTGTCCCTCCAGCTCTACCTCCCTGCTCAGCCCCTCCGTGCCCTGAAGTGAGAGGCAGACACAACCTCGCAAAGGGCTCCACGTGGTCAGCCAACCTAAGCACCCAGCACTGCTCCACACTGGTGATGAGATACAGCTTAGGGCCCCCTCTGCCAGGGCGGCTGCCTCAGAGGGTGCCTCACGAGAAGCAAATGCAAGCCAGGCCCTGCTACTGCTTTATACCAAGTGGCATGGCCCAAAAAGAGGCTGCTCGCCTCATGAGGTCTTAGGCAGGACCTAGAAATCTGTCTTCTTTAAAGCCCCCCAAGTATTCTAATACTGGCCAGATTCTGGAGACGGAGCAATGGAAATTCACCTTGCCCGGTCTACTCAGTAAGGTGTCTCACAAATCACCTGCTCCAAACCCTTCCTGACAAACACCACCTGGCCTTGTCTGTGCCCTTCAAGACCTCCAAACTGCAGTGCTGCAGACGGTGGGGACCAAGGTCCAGCAGAACCAAGAAGAACATGTCAGGCACAAATGCAACCGACCTTGTAACTCCATCCTGTCTCAGGACTCGCTTCACTAAGGGCACCCAGGCCTGATTCACATTAAATACCTTGTTTGTTTCACCCAAACCAAATGCCCGCTCAGACTTGCAAAGACCACATGTCAGAATCTCTCTCCTCTCAACAACCCTAAAGAGGAGGCAAAAATGATCTTGGCTTCAAGCTCCTTAAGGACAGGGTCTGTGTCTGAGCTTACATCTGGCAGGGGAGACAAAGAACCATAAAACAAAAGAAGCAGCACTAAGGGGAGCAAAGGAAAGCTAAGGGAAGGAACGATAAATCGTGCTTGGAGGAGGTGACGTCAGAGGTGGACCTCCAAGACCAAGAAAGAGCTTGCTGGGACAAAAGGAAAAGCAGCCCAGCAGGCAGAGTGGTGAAGGGGGTGGAGGGTGTGGCCCCAGGGGAACGGTGAGAGGTGGGCACAGCCGGGGCATGGGCGGTGGGCTGACGATGAGGCTGCAGAGGTTGGATGGGCCAGGTTGGGAAGTGCCTTGAAACCCACAAACTACACAGCGCTTTGCATGGGAGCAAGTGGTCGGCCCTCAGTTGCTAAGTGACTGGATAAACAGATAAATATATGGCGGTGGAGGACACGGAATGACTGAATTCACGGCAGCAACAGAGCATGTATGTCGGAAGCCCCATCACAGGCACCGTCAGGGCCTTGCCTTAAGGAATCAGAAGCGAGAACTCCCAGAAATGCACCCTGGGATGGGCAGGACTCAGCTCTTGATTATCCTCAAAAGTGAGGCTCCAGCCCAGCCCTAGAGAGACTCACCTCCCAGCGGGCTCCATCCAGGACAGAGGAGAGCATGTCCACATCCAGCAGGTGCTCCGAGATCCGGCTGTGGACACCGAAGTCCTGGAGATGGTAGAGATGGGGAGGTCAGCTCTCCTCTGTCGCGCTCAGCGCCCACCAGGGATACAGAGCCTCTCCTCCACCCCCACCTTCCAGAAAGACGCCTACTACATGCCAGGCACTGTACCAAGCACTCCGACAGCTACTCATTAATTTCACCTTCAAACTTAACACTGCGACTGGATGGAAAGGCGTGTGGCAAAGCAAGTCCGGTAAACTGTTCACTGTAGACTCTAGGTGGTGAGTATGAGGCTATTCGCTGTAAAAGTCTTTTAATTTTTCAGTATGTTTGAAATTTTTCATAATCAAATTACAGGGAAAAAAGTAACCCTATGAGACTGATCCTCTTATTCTTAGCTCATGGAGGAAGCAGTTTGAGAGCCCAAGTAATTTATCCAAGGTCATGTATCTGGTAAGCAATAGGGCTGGGGGTCAGAAGTGCCCTGGGCCGACTCCAAAGCCCAAGCTCTTTGTGTGACATGTGCTGCAAAGCATGTCACTTTCCAGCTGTCTCTCCCTCCTGGTGCCCAACCAGGAGGCCAAAGTGCCCAGAAGCCCTGTGGGCAGCTTGGACACCAGGGCCTGCCAGGCTCTACCCAGCTGGTTCCTTCCCCTTCCCATACAGGTGTCCCTCTGGACAATGGGGATGAATTAGGGCCACTTCCTCCACCAGCTTCTCTTTGGGACGGGCAGCAACTGCCCACACAGGTGCCAGCTCCCCGCAGCCCTTTGGCTGCCGCAGAGCAACGAGCCCGCCCCCTCCGACCCCAAGATCGTCACTGGGCTAGGTGACGGACGGCTACCTGACAGCACGCTCACAGGGACAGTTCTGTCATCAGCCCTGATAAATGCAGGGATGCCCAGCCAAGGTCTGGTCCTGCTGTCTGTGGCTTCCTCCACCCACTCCCATAGAGAAGAAAAATGCCGATGGGCAGCCCGTTTCTCCACACAGTGACTCCATTAGCAGGGCCAGGGCCCTTGCTTCAGAGAGTTCTGTGACACGGTGATTCTTCATGACGGTTTGTGCCAACAAGGACTTTGCCTCCCGTTCCTAGCTTGTGGTTTTCTTTGCTGATGACATTTCCCTTTCAGCGTGAGTTCTACTCCAGTCAATGCACCTGCCATCTGGTTCCTAAGCCCATGGCTCAGTGAGGGGCTTGAGCACACAGCCTCCTAATTCCTCTGCACCCCCTCGTATCATTACTGTTCATCCCTGACCCTCTCCCACTAATCCCTTCCCTTTGATCTGCCTCCTCCGAACAGATGGAGCGTGGTTTCTGGAAGAAGTGCTCTGCCAAAAAGCACCCCAAACTCCCCCCCATAGATTACAAACCTGGCAAGTGAAGCCAGGCTACAGCAGGCTGCGTGGAAGGACTGGGACAAAGAAACCATGGATGTTGGCATTCCAGGACAAAGTCTTAACTTGGGAAATGACACCACACCACAGCATCCTTCCTGGTCAGAGCCTGAGAGCCTGAGGACTGGTCCTCGCCATGGCTCAGTGATTCCATAAACACACACAGTCTCTAACCTCCTAGGTTCATGTAATGCTCCTGCTAGAGCCCAGAGGCAATGACCTCATATGATCTCACAGGCACTTCACACAGCAGTAATAGTAATAACAGCTATGTTTGTTTAATGTCTATATGCTAATGTTTTATACTCTTTACACCACTTTCTTCTCACAACAAACCTATAAAGTAGGTAGTGTTATCCTTAGTACGCAGGGCTGAGAAAATGGAGTTAGACAAGACCCAAGTTTGAGTCCTAACTTCCCCACTTACAAGCTGTGAGATGCTCAGCGAATCACTCAAACACAGGACCTCGCAAACCCATGCTCTTCACCACCACTCTGCTGCCCCCCATCTCAGACTCACCAGGCCAAGAAAGGACTTGGGGTCAGAAGCAGTGGAGTCTGAGGGCTGTAGTTCCTTCATGTGTTCACTGATCTCTGACTCCTGGGGAGACAGACCCACAGAGAAGTCACCAGAGCAGAGGACAGAGGGTTGTGATCACTATCCACGGTGCCAGTACAGGGCTGAACACAAACCGAAATCCAACTCTTCTGGAAAACCTGGAAGAGGCCTGTGGACCCTCCCATTCTCTCTGGACACCTGCCCCCGGCCCCCTCAGGCTGGGCAGGGCAACACTCTTGGAAGGAGGGCCAAGTGAAGCAGAGTGGGAGATGGTTAGAAAGTCGGCAGTGGGGAAGTTTGATGGGATCCTAGGAAAACAAGATGAGTGTATCTTTTCCAGGAAGTAGCTAAAAGCTCTTTAAATGAATTCCCTCACCATCCACCTGGAGGAAGGGCGGGACTAAGGGCTGGAAAATAAAGATGCCAAATGCTCTCACAGCTGGGTCCTACTTCTATCCATCCGGGTCACTGGCCTGATCTTACCAAGCAAGACTCCCGCGTCTTGGGTTGTTCAAAGGAGCCAGAGAGACCAATGAAGAGTCTTCTTGTAACCTAACTGACCAATGCCGGGGCAGGACACTCCCAAACGTCCCCCCCACTCCCCTCAACAGGCTCCTCTCTCTGCAGGAACACAGGCTGCAACCATGACTCACCCCAAACTGATGTCAAGAAGTAGGAGGGGGAGGCAGGAAATGGCAAGAGGAAGTAAGTGGGAGACCAGAGGAATAGGAATATCCCAGGAAGTGCCAAAGGAAAAGCAAATTTTTGCTCTGAATTTCTAGTGCCAGCAGGTTTGGAGTTTCATTCAGGATTTTACTGCCTGCTGGGTCTGGGCATATTTGTCACAATTAAGGGTTCTGGCTGATGTTGACGGCCCATTGCCGGGCCTGCAAATGCAGCTCCTGACTCAGTAATAAAGATGAAGGGAGAGGAACGTGCACAGGGCACGAGAGAGCAGCAGAGGGCTGCAGCCAGCAACTGCCCACGGGACAAAGCGACTTACTTCGCTCGCCTCTGATCTGCTCTCTTTTGGGACGGAAGCCTCCTTCTTTGGCTCCTTTGCTGCCTCTTCCTGCAGGGAACCCTCCTCTCTTGCATCCACCGGGTCCTCTGGTGCCTCTTTTTTATTGGCTTTGGCAGGCTGATGGCCCGCGGGGTCGCCCCCGGCGTCCGCCACACTCCTGGACATCCCGGGATCATTCTTCTCATTCTTTTCTTTTTCTGGGAGCCAACTTGCCCCTTTTCCCTGTTGCCCTTGGCCATCGGCACTGCTCAGGCTGCTATCTGCACCTCGGCTGAAGAGCTTGCCAGGAGTAGTGGGGCTGGCAGCATCGGAATCCAGAGAAGTGTCCTTCTTCTCCTCTGGCTGGCTTGTTCTTGGAGATTCCTAGGGAGCAGAAGACCATGTCAGAAAGGAAGACGTCAGGAATTAATAAAAGGGTTTAGAGACTTGCTACAAGATGGAGCTGCCATTCCTTGACGCCTACAGTTCTGAAACCAATGGCTATCCCACACCTCAAAAGCATTTAAAAACACAGATTCCTGGCTCCAGCCCAGCTCCACTGACTCTGAAATTCTATGGTGATCTGAATACACCCAACCTGACCCCCGTCCACCGAGGAACTTGGAATCCAGTGCACTGCGCTATACAACTCTGTCACCACCCATCACTTTCTCGAGTAATAAATCTGGCTCATTCCAGCCCCATTAGATGGCAGGCTCAGAAGTCAATATTTGTTTACGATGATGATGACGGAGAACCGCATGAGAGAAAAGTACCAAAGTCTAGAGTTTTCATTTTTAAAAGGCAGGAGGGAGGAAATATCAGGAGGGTACCCTTCTTGCACAGCAATGAGGGTAGCTCTCTCCCTATAGCCTCCCCCTTAGGGAGGCTGCATAAGCAGCCCTGGAGCCAGGCTCCTCTGTCGGAGGACCATCAAGTGAGTCCTCTGGGCAGCAGGTGCCAGATGGGGTGAGGTGTGTAGAAGACTGATTGGGGGAAATGCCCATGAGGATACGGGAGGTGGGGAGAGGCTTGGGAACGCAGGTCTGAGACCTGTGACATGGGAGAGGGAAGGAGGGGGCTTGAGTAGGAGAGCCTCAGGCCACAGCACAGTTCTGAAAGGGTCTCAGCCACATGGACAGTCCCGCAGCCGTCATGCAGAAATGGCCCTGCTCCGGGGCCCATTGCACCCCATCAATTCCATCAACAAGCCCAGCCTTGGCACGAGCCGGGGTGGATCAAAGGTTCAGCAGCTGCAGGCCATTAATCCCCCAAGGTCCCCTCTGCAGGGTCTCTTGAAAGGAGATGGGAGCAGGGCACCTCTACAGCTGCCCACCCTGCTCCTCGCTCACAAACCCCATGGTAAAGAGCAGGAGAAACCTTTAGAGCTACCACAAGAGAAAAAGGAACTCCTCCCTTGGAAATACAGCCTGTGATCTCTCCTAGGCTCAAGCAGAGAAGCCTTCTTCCCAGAAAACACCTGTCCTAAACCTGGGCTGCCAGCGTGAGCAACTTCTTGGCAGGGATTTTTGAGACTTCCTGAAGCCTGACCCTGGACACTCCAACAAGAAGCGTGACGACTAGAGTCCAGAGGGCCAAGGAGAAGCCCCAAACACGCCATTCACCATGCTGTCTGCCTGTTAAAGGATCCACGGAACCCAAAGCCATGACCATCCACTGCAGGTCTGGCAGCCGACTGACAAGCCCACCCAAACTTTCCAAGGATGGTTAAGAGAGGCAGGAAAGCAGAGCACTTCAGAGCCTGACTTCGGAGATAGAACACCCAGGTTCAAATCTTGGCTCCGTGCTTACAGGGACCCTAGGCAAACTGTTTAACTTTTCTGGGCCTCAATTTCTTCCTCTAAAATACAGGGGTATGGGCCTATCTCATAAGATTGTTGGAAAGATTAAATAAGTTAACATTCATTGAGCGAGTAAAGAACAGAGAACTGTGCCTGGCACACCATAAGCGCTCCATAAACGCTAACTCATGTATTATGATGAGACCCACAAGTTCATTCACCGAGCACCTTCTATGAGCCAAACCCCACCGTGGCGACCTGAATAGGAAGATAGATCCTGCCCTCAAGGAACTCAGCTGAGAATGGAGAAAAGTGAAACATCCCAGGTGGCCCTGGCTATGAGGCTTTACTGCCCAAAGCAAAGGGCACCGGACACGGTGGTGACGCTGTGGTCAGTGCCACGCCTGTCCCAGGGAGAAAAGCAGAGGCTGAACAGAGAAGGGGTGGGCTTCCCTCATGCCCTGGCAGCACAAAGGCAGGGTGCCCTCCACTGCTGCCCACCCTCCTGACACCCTAACTTATAGTGTGGAGGAAGTCTTCATGGTCACTGGGTGCAGAGGGTCCAAGATGAGCTCCTCCTCTTTGAGAGGCATCTTCAGGGCGATGCCAGGTGTCCTCACCTCGGTGTCCCCACAGCAGCCGGCTCTCAGCAGCGGCCAGCACGCAGTGACCGGTCTGTGGGGCTCCTGGATGCCAAGAAGGATGTGGGAGTGTCTCGGGGGGAGTGAGGGGGTCTGACTCAGCAAGCACAGCCAAGCCACCCCGGCTGTGCTCATCTCATGATGAAAGAAAGGCAACAGACCTTGGATTAGAGGGCAGAGGAGGTGTCGGACCACCAGTTCACATCTCCTCACACGGCCCACAGCCCTTCTCACCAAGCCCAGCCCTGCTTGCTCCTCTGAGGTCATCTCCAGACACACACATCCTGCCTGTGAACAAACATTACACCATTTCCCTGCTCTGCCGTGTGCGTTCTTAATACACACACAATCTACCCTGACAAGCTCCCACTGGTCCTCACTGCATCGCCTCTTCCAGGAAGCCTTCCTGAGATCAGCCTTCCTCATCCTTTTTCACAACAACTACTGTCTTATAACTGCTGACTTCCTTGCCTGTTGCCCTCACCAAATCAGCTCCCTGTTATCCTCAGTGTCTAGTTTCTGGCACATAATAGGTGCTCAGTCAATGCTTGTTGACTGAATATTAAAAGTGATTAAGTGGGGCTTCCCTGGTGGCGCAGTGGTTGAGAGTCCGCCTGCCGATGCAGGGGACACAGGTTCGTGCCCTGGTCCGGGAAGATCCCACATGCCGCGGAGCGGCTGGGCCCGTGAGCCATGGCCGCTGAGCCTGCGCGTCCGGAGCCTGTGCTCCGCAACTGGAGAGGCCACAACAGTGAGAGCCCCGTGTACCGCAAAAAAAAAAAAAAATGATTAAGTGGGTCAACGCAGATATAGGAGTTCCTACTCTGTAAAATGGAGGTGTGATATTATCTATTTTACAAAATTATACAGGGATTAGACTATTACTTGTTATAGCGCTTATGAAATGGAAAATAGCTAAACAAATATTAACTATTAATATTCAAGATGACGGAAAAACAATAACCTATCAAAAATCAGAGGACACCATATCCAGGGGGAGATTCCCATTCTTACACATGAGAGAATATGGCCAGACTACAGAATGTCAGGCCCAGGCTATGCCACTCTCAAGCTAAAATTATTCAAAAGAAAAATGTTCCATGGAGCTTATCCTATTCTGTCTACGTAAATAGTAAAATATTAAAACATGGCTAACATGAAAATAAGTGAACTTACATTCCCTGCGCCCACATCAACTAACTGCAATGAGAGGACAGCCAGGGGGACGTCTTGAGGGGAAGGACAGCAGGGGGAGACTAGGCATTTGTTGTGGATTATCCACAAATGGATGAACGAGAGCTGAGTGTCTGGAAAACCCAGCTGACTCCACGCTCCCCTCCTTTAACTCAGCCCCTGCTCTTCATTCCATCACGGGGCCCATGGCCTGAGGCCCGGCCCAGGACACACACCCAGGCCCCTGCGCACAGCCTCCTGGGCCAGTGTTCTGCAGGGCACCCGGGGGATGTACCCACAGCACGGCTCTGCTCTCAGCTCAACCGTGCTCACACTCCTTCTGTCTCCTCCTGTCACAGCCCCAGGTCCTTGAGTATAAGGCAAATTCCTGCTGTCTTTTTCCAAAAAGACTTTGCCATCTGCATGAAGAGGGGGGTGCAGGAGAGTGCCTGTATGAACCATTTCATGAATATTTAACATATCCCCCAAAAGCTATGAGGTCTCCCATGCTGCAATCCCCCTCCTGCGGTCCAGAGCACAAAGGCAGGGGCCCTACATTCCACACGGCTCAGGAGGGTGAGAGTGGGAGACAGGGGAGCTGAACACCATGTCCTTGCATTGATCCCGTTCTGGGGAGACCCCCCCACACCAAGCCAAACACCAATCCGTTTATTTTCCATGACTCCTTCCCACCCAGTCGGTCTCAGTTCTTTGCACTACTCCCCAGTGCTGTTAGCGCTTTCCAATCACACTGACATCATCCTGTTATTTCTAAGCCCAGCTCCCTCCCTCCCCTTTGATCTGCTGATGGTCTTTTCACCAGCACTACAAGGCCATCTGCTGCCTGCTCACCTACCCTTCAGCCTCCCCTCTTTCACTCCCATCCATTCTCAGTGTCTGTTCCAGGAGTAATAGACTAGAAACGGGTTTAAGTTGAAGGCAGGAGAGGAGGGGGAAGGAGACACACACACACAGAGAGAGAGAGAGAGAGAGAGAGAGAGAGAGAGAGAGGGAGAGAGGGAGAGAGAGGCATTCTTGCCATCCTACTGCCCTCTCATGGAATCATGAGCAAAGTGATTGTTGACAGCGAAACAGGGTAAAACAAACCACAGAATAAGCTCTCCATCTCAGGCTGCCGGGGCTGCCCAGAAGCGGGAAGAGGTGGGCAGCTCAGAGGACCCAAGGTCTATAAACTGGGACAAAAGCCATTTTAAAGGGCATGGTAAGCAGAGGCAGCTTTGTCTGTCCTAAAACCCCGTTCATCCCCACCACTAACCTTCCCCACCAGGAAGAGCCCCAGTTCCTGCCTGAGGTTAGAATGCAGGAATTCAACACTCCATGTGGCAAAATGAACTAAATCTGCTGGGATGCTAGAGATGGGGGGGTGGGGGGAGTGTATTTAACACCTCCCACTCCAGACATTTCTCCCCATCACACTGGGTTGCCTATTTATATTAAAGAGGTTATAAAAAATATATTTAAAAGCTCCACTCCCCCAAAGAAGCATACAAAGATCAGAAGGGAAGCTTTTGAGAATCCAGGACATGTCAAAGAAGAAAATCCCTTTTTGTGTTGACATTTGTAAACTATTATAGAGGAAAGATTAACTAGCCCAAGTCAAAGCACATTATAATTGATCCACATTGGGATCTTCAATCCACCAGCTGAAGCGGGGATCCAGTGTCCACTCTACCCAGGACCTGGGAAAGCCCAGAGAAGAAAAAAGCACAACACGACCTGCCAGGATACCCTCTGGTCCCAGCGTGGCTCATTCATTCACTCACCTACCTATTCATCCACTCAATCGCTCAGCACAACATACCCACGCACTTCCTAAGTTCCAGGGAGCAGGTCAGGTTCCAGACACACACACAGGAACAGGGCACAGTCCCTACTCTCAATTTGCTCAGTCTTGTGGAGACTACCCTCTTTCTCCAAAAGCCAGCGAGTCCTCCTGACACCTCATTCCTACTCACGGACATCCTTCCAGGCTCAAAACCTGAGCCACTGATTCCATCAGCATCATAAAGATCTTAATGGCAGGTGAGAAGAAATAAAGTTATCATGTCAGGGAACCCAAAACAGAAGGCTTTGGATTTAATGCCAACAGACCAGGCCCCATTCAGAAGGAAGTGTCAAAGTAGAGCCAGATCAGGTTGATGACACTCAGAAAATGTGTCACGTGGCAGAAAGCATCAAAGTCACAATCAAAACATATCTGATTGGGCAGAGCCAAAAACGGGGACAGTTTCTGAGGCTACAGAGTGAGCCTAAGTATAACACGGGGCCTGCCCAATGGCTAGAGCTGGGTCAGCTGGGAGAGCCCACCTACACCTAGGTGTCAGCCAGCATTCTCAACCTCAGCCCACCTGGGACCTTCCCCCTAGCTCTCAAGGTGAGCTGAAGACCAAGAAGTAAGAGTCAGAAACAATAAGACTGTGGAAGGGGATGATAAGGACATAAATAAAAGATAATAAGGAAACATTTAAATCCATGATACGGGCACTGCTCTTTCACTGGTCAGTTTTGTGGTCATTCTAATAAATGTGAGTGATCTCTTTCAGTTCAAAGCCTTTAAAAGAATTTTCTATTTTGTGAAAAGTTTAACTGACCTTGCAATCAATATTTCAATGTCTGGGGAAATCTGAGTTGTTGACTTCATGATTTATTGGTTGTGTGAATACTTTGGACATATTCAGAGAAAGCTTAATTGTTAAAAATTAATAAATTAGACAACAGACCAAGAACAAATAATAGGGAATGTTCTTTTTCAAGTAGAAGAACGTACTGGGGTTTTTTAGTTATTACGACGACATGATGAGTTTCAGGTTTTGTTTGTTTGTTTGAAAGAACATTCTGGGACTTCCCTGGTGGCGCAGTGGTTAAGAATCCTCCTGCCAATGCAGGGGACACGGGTTCGAGCCCTGGTCTGGGAAGATCCCAGATGCCGCAGAGCAACTAAGCCCGTGCGCCACAACTGCTGAGCCTGCACTCTAGAGCCCGCGAGCCACAACTACTGAGCCCGCGTGCCGCAACTACTGAAGCCCGCGCGCCTAGAGCCCATGCTCTGCAACAAGAGAAGCCACCACAATGAGAAGCCCGCGCACTGCAACGAAGAGTAGCCCCCGCTCTCCCGCTCACCGCAACTAAAGAAAAGCCTGCGTGTAGCAAAAGCCCAACCCAGCCAAAAATGGATGGAAGGAAGGAAGGGAGGGTGGGAGGGTGGGAGGAAGGGAGGGTGGGAGGGTGGGAGGGTGGGAGGAAGGGAGGAAGGGAGGAAGGGAGGAAGGGAGGAAGGGAGGAAGGGAGGAAGGGAGAAGGGAGGAAGGGAGGAAGGGAGGGACATTCTGGTGGGAGTGGAGGACAGACCAGGGAAAGAGATGAGAAGCAAGAGGACTGCTGGGGGGATATTCCGGAAGCTAGTTCCATCCATATTCTGCATTTCCCAGGCCTCGTGCCTTTGCTCAAGCTGTCCACCTGCCTAAAACATCCCTTCCACCCCCACATCTAAAACCTCCCTACTCTTCAAGACCGGGGTCAAATGTTGTCTCATCCAAGTTCTCCCTCATCTCTGGGCAGGTAATTTCTCTGCCCTCAGAACTCCTCCAAAGAGTGTACCTGTGCTCGAGCTCTTTATACACCTGGCCCTGCTTTACAGTTTCCTAAATATTCATTTATTCAACATGTACTAAGCGCTCACTAAGCACAGAGTGCCCAGCATCCTTTCTCTCCAACTGCACACTCCCAGAGGCCTGCCCAGGCCACTCCTTACCAGTGCTGGGATCGACCACAGCACAGCTGCCGCCACACAGCCAGCATTCGACAAATGCTAAGCATCTGGACAGCATTACACCTCTGTTCAAACCCTCCCATGGCTCCCAATGCCGGTGTAACCCAGTCCAACTTCTCAGCTGGCACTCAGGTCCTCCACAACCCAGCCCAACCCACCTCCACAGCCCCACTTCCCACTCCTCTCCCACACGCGCCCTGGGCTCCAGGCAAAGGAGACACCCTCGTGCTCCGCTCCTGTGCAGTGCCCTGCAGCTGGAGCTCTCCCTCACCACTCGCCTCTGCTCGTCCGGTCCCACCCACCGTCCTTCCTGGCTCACCTCAGATGTCAGATTCTCAATAAGGCCTTTCAAACGGACAGGAGACCCCGACTTCTCCCCAGCCACAACACTGTGTTTTACCACCCTGACGGCGGCACTGCATTCCACTCCGAGTCCCAGCTACGTAAGTCTCTCTTTTATGAGACTGTAAACTCTTTGAGGGCAGGGATCACAGCTAACTGAGGCGTGCGTGGCCAATAGCACCTAGCAAAGTGCCTCATGTAGAAACATTCAATAAACGGTGGTTATCTGAGAAATGAGTGAATGGATGAATTCCTTTCCCCACTTGTGCCTCCCCAAACCCCAGAAATCCCATCTGGACAGGACTGGGACAAAATGATACTCTTTCCAAATAAGTCTCCCACAAGGAGGAAGGCTTAAGAAGGGAGGAGGGGGACTTCCCTGGCAGTCCAGTGGTTGAGACTATGCGCTCCCAATGCAGGTGGCCTGGGTTCGATCCCTGGGTCAGGGAACTAGATCCTGCATGCTGCAACTAAAGATCCCACATGCCGCAACTAAGACCCGGCGCAGCCAAATAGATAAATAAATAAATATTTTTTTAAAAAAAAGAAAGGAAGGAGGGACCTGCCAGGCTGAGGCATCTGCCTGCAGGGGCTTCAGGCTCTTACCTCATACTCGAAGTCACCCCCCAGTGCCCCGATGTCCAGGTGCAGGTTCTTAAGAAGCTCACTTGAGCTTCGGACACTCTGAAAATGGAAACGATGGCAAGGAAACTGGTCAGCCCACGGGGCCGAGAAGCTCCTCACTGGTTATACTTTCTGGGTCAGACCCAGCAGGTATACAGACTGAGCAAGGAATGAAGCTGTGGGCTGGAAAATCATTTTCACTTATTTTCAAAGTAGCACAGAGGTTAGCCCAAAGGTAAAGACAGCTCAGCTCAACCATCCACCAGCAGATGAACGGCTAGACAAAATATGGTATATTCATACAATGGAATATTATCCAGCCACATGTGCTACAACATGGATGAACCTTGAAAACATTATGCGACATGAAAGAAGCCAGACATAAAAGGACAAAGACAGTATGATTCCACTTATATGAAATGTCTAGAATAGGCAAATTCACAGAGACAGAGAGTAGATCAGGGACTGGGGAGAGGGGAGGATCCAGAGCTTTGTTTAAAGGGTACAGAGTTTCTCTGGGATTATGAACAAGTTCTGGAGATGGATAGTGGTGATGACTGTACAACACTGTGAAGGTAGTTAAGGTCACTGAGCTGTACGCTTAAAAGTGGTTAAAATGGTAGACATATTTGACCACAATTTTTTTAAAAAAAAATTTTTTTTCATAGCACAGAGGGTTTCCAGGCCAAGAAAAGGATTCATTCTTACCTGGTTGTCACTCTCCACCTCATCCTCCTCATTGGTCTCCTCTCCTAAAGCCAAGAGGCTGAGAGCATTCTTGTCCTCATGGATGGAGCCCAGGAGGCCCTTTGTATACGCAGAAGTCTTGAGACCCTGTGAAGGCTCCAAAATAGAGAAGGAAAACCAAGGCACTTACGGGGAAGACCCTCAGATTGCCTTCTCCTCTCTCTTTCTGTTTAGATGGCTCCCAGAGCAAGCCCACCACCTCCAGGAAGCTGACCCCAGCAGCTCCAGCTCACTGATCCCTCCCTGTCCAACTCCTGCTGCCCTGGCTGCAGGGACTGGGAAATCACCACTGCTGTCCCTATGCCCTGGGTCCATCCTCCACCACCCAGAGCCCCTGTTCAGCATCCTCCAGGTGTGACTCACCTTCCCCACTAGATTATGAGCATTAAGGACTCAGCCCATGCCCTCTATTTCTCATCCATGGGTCACGGTTCCTAGCATGGAACATGGAGGCCCCACGGTAACTACACTGAACACAAGAAGAAGCATTTACCATTGAGAGTTCTCCATGCTGACCAGACTCCACCGAGCTCCCCAGGCTCACGCTTTGAGATCCACGAAGAGCAGAGGGCGGGGCATCCACCAGGCCCCTTAACGGGGCCAGACCCCCGAGAGGAATGTGGACGGGGGCTAACGGGGAGCCCAGTGCCTGGGCAACAGAAAACATCCTGTTACAAACCCAAGAAACCACAGGGCTCTGACAGTGTGGAGATGGATATAAAAATAAAACATCTAAATCCTGCCCGCTCAAATTTAAACCGCCTCCGTTCGGAGGCTGCTAATGAAACACAACATCCAGAAATTACCATTGTGCCAGCCGTGCGAGAATCACGGGCTGGCTTCCTGATTCTCGTAACTCTGGGCCTGTCTCTCAGCAAATGGTTCTTTCACATCTGGCAGATGCTGCAGAGGACTCTGCTCTCCCTCCGAAGCCACAGAGGAAGTTGGGGGGTTGGGGGGAGAAGAGACAAAAGCCTCATCTACCAGCATGAGAAGTCTCAATAGATACAGTTGAAAACGGATGAATCAAGAAAAAGCGGTCTAAGCATATTATTTACAAATATGGAAGCAAACACTGGAAGAGAGCCGTTGCCTCTGGGGAGGGGTACCCACACCCGAGAACTGCTATATTTCGTTCTATGCCTTTTGGCTCGACTTGACATTGTTTAATAACATGGGCATGTATTACTTCAATTAAAATAAATATTAACTATGAAAAATACACATGAGCAACAAAAGAACTCTCTTTCCGCTCTCCACTGATGAGGAAAGGGGCTGGAAGGAGCCTCGCCAGAGGACTGTGCAGGCCCCTCCTTTGCCCTGTTCTTGGGATGGCCAAATGAAGGCTTTGTACCAGTGAGGACTGGGGAGAGAAACCAACTGGGTGGCAGAATTTGTGAGACGTTGGGTCGCTCACGGACTCTTGGATTCTCAGTTTGCTCATCCGCAAGACAGAGATGATGTGTGTCTTGCTACTTAAGAAGGTTTGTTGAGAAATTCAAATGAGATACTGACAGCAAGGAGCATGTGTGCATGGCCCAGGGCTACTCCAGCACTGTGGAATTGCTATCATTACAGGGAATCACATCACAAGAGTCTGGGCTTAGAAGCCGAGGCAGGATAGCATTCTGGGGACAGTTTACAAAGAGCTCTTTAAATATCCTCAAACTTAAATTGTATATAAAACAACACAAAAATTCCATTCCTCTCTAATCCCATGGGGACTGAAGAGAGAAAGGGGAACCTGAGGAGGTCAGGCAGAGTTCAGGTGGCCCATCTTCTCACCCGCAGCTGGGCCTGGGGCCAGACCATCGGGGGGGCTCTGAACACAACCCATTTCTGCATGGGAAGGGCATCAGATGCTTATCTGAAAGGTGACACGAGACCCCCTCCCAAACCTTTGTAGGTTCCCAGTCACCTGGCCTGTTGCAGGGTATCTTCATTAGGCAGAAAAGGAGCTGATAATAAAAAAGTTGGCCAACTTTGCCTGAGCCCTGGGCACTGGGGTAAGCACCTGTCTCATTTCACTGTCAAAACCATCTGAGGCCACAGTCCCCACAAGAGCAAACGGAGACTGGTGAGGTCAAGACCCCTGCCCCAAATCATAGGGCCTGCAATGAGGACAGACGTGGGACCGGAACGCAGGGCAATCTCTAAGCCAGTATTGTACACTGCCTCCTGGCTATGGCAGAAAAGGAGCCCAGGAAATCTGCTCTGAGGTGAACTGTTAGCAAACCCAGCCTGCTCCCCGCAGCCAGCCCAGTGGATCAGCGAGTAAAATTCTTCCCATACTATATTTATGGAAAATTACAGACTCCTAACATGGCTAATTTGCTAACGTGCTGGGGGCCTGAGGGAGGGAGACAGACCCGCTGAGGGCTTTGTTCTCCCAGGCCTTTACCAAATCAGCGGTTAGCAGGGAAATTATACATCCCTGGCTCCTAGCTGATCACGCACTATGGGCTGTGCGTGGCGTTGTCCTTCAGAGAGGATAAACTTGCTGCCATTGGGCTAATTAAAACTTCCAGGATAATCTGCAGCTTATCTGATATTTACAGTGCCACAGCAGTTATCAGAGCTAACGGAGAACCAGGGCACGCCAGCAATTAGGAACCGAGGGAACAACTGGGTAAAGCCACAGCTGGGCAACAGCCAAAGAATAGCCGGGGAAATGCAGACCGACCCCCGGGGTGGTCTGGGATCCAATTTGACTTCTGAATGAAGCTAGTGGTGACTCTTTAAAGGGAAAAAGAGTCGGAATGACAGGGCAAGCCCAACACTTTGGTAGATCCCAATAGGGGAGGAAGTGAAGGCTCACGTGGTCAGCACAAGCCTGACACAGATTATTCACAAGGTTCTGGAAACCCTGGGAAGCAAGGAGCAGAAGCAGCTCACTGAACGGCAGAGAGAGCCTGGGCTTCAGCCTCTCATGACAGTGTTAACTCTCTAGTTCTGTGTGATTCCCAGAAGGGACTAAGTTCAGAGGCTGGGGGTAGGGTGTCTACTTGGGAGGACCTCTCCATAACCAGCTGATGGGGAAGGCTTCCCAAATCCTGGGACAGTACCTATATCTTGCATGAGTGCCAGGATAAGTGCCACCTTGCTCACCCTCAAAACTGAGCATCGTCAGAGCATGTGAACCACCCACGAAGTACAGTTAGGTCAAGAGAAGGGAAGTCTAGATACCCTCAGCCCCTATCTTGCAGGTGATGGGGCAGAAGAAACAGGAACCGCATGTCATCCCACAAGATGGCCATCCTGGGTGGTTAAGGGATCAATAGTTACCAAGGGAGGACAGATAACAGGAAAGCAGACCTGCTAGCTGTGTTAGGGTGTCAGCTCAACCTGCTCCCTCCCTGTCAAGTTCACTGAGCCTGAAGGCCGTGCTCTCTAAGAAGCCTACCTGGTTGAGAAGCTGCATCTTGCCTGGCTCTGTAGCAAGCCCTCTGCTGGAACTCAGCTTGACCAGCCCCTGCCTGAGGGGGCTGCTGCTTGGCCGGAAACGAGCTTGCTGAGAGGCCTCCTGCCCAGCCGGGGCGCCGGCCACCTTCTGAGGATGCTCCCGCATCTCTGGCCCCCAAGACAGAAACCTGGAGCCCATAGCTCTGATGGCCTCGTGCTCGCCCTCACTAGACATCCTGGAAGACTCGGCTGCCAGGCGGCAGACCACGCTGGCAAGGTCTCTGCACGGCCTGTCCCGCGTGCTCTCGGGCGGCCCCGGGCCCTCCAGCCGCCTGGAGAGCTTGAACATCTGCAGGATGTGCTGGTAGAACCTCTGGTCCTCAGAGTAGTCTTCACTCTCTGACTGCTCCTCGGCAGAGCTCTGCATGTGGGACAACTGGGGCGCCAGGAAGGGGCTGGGGTGCTGCTCCCTGGGTCCAGGGCCTGACTGACCCACACCCCGCTCAGATCCCCGTGAGCTCTGCAGGTCCCACGGGAAGTTGGTCACCTCCCCCAGGACCTCAGAGCCCAGGTGAGAGGCCAGGCTGCTGCTGCTGCTCTCCAAGTCAGGCCCAAACCTGCCCAGCCTCCTGTCCTCTGCAGGGGGCTCCAGAGAGCCTGGGGGTGGTGTCTTCTCACTGGCAGGAGACCCTCGAGGGGCCTGCGAGGCGACTGCAGGGGCGCTCTGGGCTGGTTCTGAGACCAGGGTATCAGGGGGTATTAGCAAGAGCCCCTGAGGTGGACCTATGGCTGAGGCCCCTGGAGCCTCAGGGTCTTCGGGCTCTATTTTCTTGCTGCCCCAAGGGGCGTCCTTGTGGACAAGCTTGGAGACCTGTCCCATCCACAATCCCGGGGGCTCTCTCCTCCTCCTGCCCCTGCCCATGCTGCCCTCTTCCCCAGAAACGCCCTGCCAGCTCTGGTCTTCAGCTGGGCTGCTGACTAACAAGAACGGCTTGCTCTTCCTGGCAGGCAGCATGGGGTCAGAAGAACAAAGGGACAGGGAGGGATCCTCCTCAGGGGATGGTGAGGGAATAGGGCTCTGGCCCTTGTCCCCCCCAGGGCCAGTGGAGCTCCGCTTGGCCATGTTATGGCTGTGCTGCTCCCCTTTCAGCTGCAGGCCCTTGAGGGCTTCCAAAAACTTCAAGTGGACCAAGGCCTGGCTCCTGCTCTCTAACGCATCCTGCCCGTTCCGGAAGGGCCTGCTGTGGTCAGGGCCCAAAGCGCCAGGTTTCTGCTGTCTGGTCCTCATTTCCAGCTCTTCTATTTCAGGGTCTGAAAACCCCAGGTAGATTTTCTCTGTCGCCTGCTGGGGCTTCTCCAGACCCTGCTGATCACCTAATTCTGTCCTGCAGTGGGCTGGGGCCCTGCCTAAGATTTTCTCCACGTCGGCAAAGATCTGGTGGGTTCGGGAAGCTTGGCCCTTGAAGAGTGGCTGTAGCTTGCTGGGCAGGGAGCCCGTGAGAGACCTAGGGATGTCAGCCAGCATACGTAGGCTCTTCCCTTTCTTAAAGGAGCCCTCACTTCTAGCCTGCATCTCTTGGTCTAGGTCCAGATCAGCCAGCCCAGATGCTGAGAGAGGGGATGGGCCACGGAGAAAGGAGGAAGAAGGCAGAAGTCCCTGCTCAGGCTGTGTTTCCTAGATGGGTATATAAACAGGCAGAGAAAACTAAGACAAAGCGCTTCTGATTTCTACTTGCTACCTTAGCCCTTGGCAAACCCTTAGCAGAAACCCACCCTCCATTTAGAGAAAAACACAAACCCATGAGGGAAGAAAAGCTAAAAACTCCCTGAGCTTTGTTGTTTTCTGGGCCCTAGTTTCCTTATCTATAAAGAGGAGGTTCGATGAGATCAATGGCTTACAAACCTTGCGCCATGGAACCCACATATTGGTTCCGCCTGGTACCTTGGGGGCTGCTATGGTGGGCATGTGACGGGGAACAGGCATCACCAAGACCCACACCCCCAGGTTCAACCAGAGCAGCTCCACTTCTTCTTTATCCACTGGCCCTCTATGGGAGAACTGATGTGAAGACAGGGTTCCATTGCTAACAAACGTCTGAAAATCACCAACTAGATTACCCCAAAGGTACCATCAAGCTCTCAATTCTGTGATTGGTTAATTCCATAAAATCCACCATCCTTATCAAGGACTATCAGAAAGAGCCTAAGAAGGGAGGAAAGAGGGGAAACATAAGCAGTGAACCGAGCCTTGGGAACTTGGACTAGGTCTTCTACCAAAGGCAAGAGTTGGTACTGCTCAAGAGAGGTCCACACAGTCAGGGAATCTTGGGGTAGACAAAACCATAAAAGATCAACCACATCCTGCATTCACCCTAAACTCCACCCAGCTCTCCTGCAGAGAGCCCAAACCACCTGAGCCCGGTCGCCCACCTGGTCAGGCCTGCCCCTGGACAAACTGGTTTGCACCTGTCCTGAGCCCTAAGATCCAGACTGGCAGCCCCGGGCAGTCCACTTGCCCTCAGCTCCTGAAGCCACAGGAGGAATCCTTTTTAACAGGGAGCTCCTGGAACTCAGTCACACACCCAGAGCTCAGTCTATTACCCAACCCTCCACCCCAGAACCCTCACTTCATTCCCTCTCTCACCTTCAGTCATGCCAGAGCCTGCCCAGATGCTGATTATCATGTAAAATAGTCCGGGGTTAGTGAAAAGCCCATTATACATCTTTTACCTTTCAAACACATGCCATTAGAAAATTCAGCCTCTTTGGAAATTACCTGTTCTCTTTTCTCCACCTGGAAGAATGGACTTGCTGTCTTATTTCTCAGAACCATGATTAGTAATATTGGGGTGGGGGGGAGTAACTGTAGAGCTTGGAAATGATTAAAAGAGCTAAATTCATCAGCAACTATCCAATGTCAGAACTGACACCTTGCAAAGGAAGGAAGATGGAGGAAATCTTCACTGAGAAGTAAGCACCAGGCACCAGTGGGAAATAAAGACTATAAATAAGAGAGCAAATCAACTCGACCATTAAGAGGGTTAAAAAGGTATTCCCAGTGTTCCCCACTTGGCTAAACTGGGTTCCCAAGTCCCTCCCTCTCCTCAATGTGGCCCACCTGCCTCACACCTGGAGGGACAAATAGAATGATAATGGGAAAGATAACTTTCAACTCTGAGTAAAAAAGCTACTTGGGACCAAGGTGATGACACTGCAATCAAATGTCAGTTATCCACCATGAACCGAGGACACTGGCAGCAAAGGCCATCCACAGGGCCAGATAAAGCCTCAAGCTTCTCTTTCTGGATCTTGAAGGCACTGATGTTCTGACAACTGAATTATGGCTCATCAGACATCTAGGAATTTGCACCACCGAGACACATGATGAACCCACACGAGGAAAGCCTGGCTCGGAAAGGAGAGGAGAGGCACTCGCTCCTCTGGGTTCTCTGGCCTCCACCAAGTGCTCCCTGTGCCCCAACTCTCCAGAGGGGCAGACGGCGTTACTGCAAAACCCCATCCTCAGCAGGGCACTCCCTCACTAATCCTATTATGTCATATGTGCCTCCCAAGGGGGAAAAAGAAATTGCTTAGAGATAGTAACCACTTCTAGAAGCCTAAAAGGAAAATTTGCCAGAAGACAGGCATAATTCAGATGAGGCACTATGAAAAAGTTACTATATTATTGTTGTCACTCTTAACCTCCCAGCTGTAAACAGCTAGAGGTTCCCGATATCCCTCAGGTTTCAGGCCTGGCCTCTCTGACAGCTGGCATCCACTGACTCACCAGGGGACTTTTGGAGGTCTCTTTGTCCTTCTTGTCTTTCTTTTCCTTTTTCTTTTTCTTTTCTTTCTTCTTAATGGCCCCAGGAGTCGACAGCTTCCCCCGCTCTTGGATCACCAAGTTCCGGTAGTGCTCATCACAGGGATGGTCCCACATGGACTGCCCATTGGCAAAGTTGAAATAGTAAATATCACCTGTGATGTCCTGGCTGGGGATGAGCAGAGGTCACAAGTTAGTCCCTGCTCAGGTCCAAAGCTACACAGGAAAAAAAAAGAAGAGGAAAAATGGCAAGGAGGCAGAGAAGAAGGAAGAACTGTGGGGAGAAGGGGAGAGAGAGAAAAGAAGAGAGGAAAGGATTAACACAAAATTGAAGGGTAGGGACTTTCCTTATGGTCCAGTGGTTAAGAATCCGCCTTCCAATGCAGGAGACGTTGGTTCGATCCCTGGTCAGGGAACTAAGATCCCACATGCCTCGGGGCAACAAGCCCGCGTGCCGCAACTAGAGAGAAGCCCGTGCGCTGCAACGAAGAGCCCGCACCACAACAAAGACCCAGTGCAGCCAAAATTAAAAAAATAAAAATTGACGGGTACCATTTGGCTAAGAATAAAGAGTTTCCTTAGATAGAAACAAAGGATTGGGATACCCAAGGACTTCTCTAGATGGAGACGTTTAATTGTTAAGGTTCCTGAGAATTCATGGTAGACTAGAGTAGGAATAAACTTTGTTTTAGATGGATAAATACAAACACTATGGTATCATGGAGATAAATTCTGGGATAGAACTTGCTTAATATTTTCATAAATGATCTGAAGAAAAAATATGCGTTGTGATAGCTCTGATTTTGCAAAAGATTCTAAACTCATAAGAGGTGATAATCCAAGCTAGTGGGGTCAATCAACAATAAAAGAAAATAATGTAGAAGGCAGGTCTCAACATGAACAAATAAGCCATTCATCCCACCCACCATTATCAGTAATCCATATATTGCAATATAAAAGATGCAATACCCAGGAATAAATCCAAAGTGTGCAAAATCTTCATAAAGCTTTATTGAAAATTCAGGGGAAGAAAAAAGAAAAAACAATTGGAGAGACACCCAGTGCTCCTGAATAGAAAGATTCAAGTCTGTAAACATGCCATTAATCCTCAAATTAATGTATAAATCCAATACAATCCCAATCAGGCTCCTTATGAAATCTGACAAGC